CAAATCTGGCAGTGTGGCGGGCATGCAACTAGATGTTGCGTGTTTTTAGGGGCGTCTGCTATCCTTTTGGAGATTTTTGGCGATAAAAATGAGCGAAAGCAAATGTTGGAATCCGGCTGCAGAGCTCTGATCTAACTCATCGTGCATTCTCAAATGGGAGGCTGAACTCATTCTCAAATGCATCAGAATATTTTCTAATTAGGCTACACTAGGGATGTCAATTTTTCAGCTTATTCCGATCCCGGAATTTAGATATTCATTACTTTTCAACAACTTAAATCCAAAAAAAAATTGCTTCAATATTGTTTGCGAAGCTCTCCTACCATAAAATAAATAATAAATAACTGGGTTTGAAACCCACGTTTTTATTTAAAATGGCGTTTTTATTTCTTCTCCTCTGACATCAAGATTTATTTTAAAGGAGTTTATAATTCAAAGATATTGTTAATTCCAAAAAATTTTTTTATTTTAAAAAATCAATGCAATGTAGAATAAAAATATGGGTACAAAGTGTAAGAGAAAATTTCTTTACATATAAAAAAAATTAAAATTTTTTTAATTCTCAAGGACGAGCGGGTAATTTTTTAAGCTGATAAAGTTAGAAGGATGAAATTCGAGGAAGTGATCGAGTTTATAAAAGTCCTTAACAAATAATTTTTTCAAAAACAAAATTGCGAAATTTCAAGGATAAAATTTTAAAAGGACATTTTCAATATTTACCAGTCCTTCTGCACCAAAAACTTAAATCTGATTAAATTCTACAAGATATCCTCTTTAATTTGATACTCATACTTATTCTCTAAGTACATTTCGAAAATGGCTCCAAAAAAATGCCGAAAAGTTCTAAGGGTTCCAAGAAATATACAAAAAAAAACTTTTACAGTTCCGAAAATTCTGAAAGTTTCCAAACAATCCATAAATCAATCATACTGAAAAGGTTTTAAAAATTTCCTTAAAAATTTCAATTAGTATCTGCAGTTAAGAAAAAGCCTATAAAATATTATTAAAAGCTTTAAAGTCTGTAAGAACCCAGGAAAACTTGCTAAGCCTCCGAAAAAAAAACCTCCGAATGTTCCGAAGACATTCCAAAATTTACCCAAAATTATCCCGAAAAGTTTCAAGGGTCCCATGATGGCTGGAAAAATATTCGAAACTACAAAAAAAAAATCTTTTAGCCCCAAAACTTTCGAAAAAGTTAATAAAGTTCACAATTATATTCCAAAAGGCCCAGAAAATAATACTAAAATCTCCAAAACTATCCCATAATATGCCCAAAATAATTAAGCAAATTCAATAAAATTTTATAATTTTCCGACAAAAAAACAAAAAGCTTTAAAATAAAAAAAAAAACAGAAAAAGTGACGAACGTTTGCATTAAAAAATTAAAAGGTTAGAGCGTAGCAAATTAGTATGCAGATTTATTGAGTTTTCCTGAGTTTTGCACAAACTTAAGAGATTTTTTTTTAACTATATCGAGCTTTAACCGCCAAACAGACGTAAGGGAAATTTTATTTTTTTTTTCAGTTCTGTCCAACTTTGCTCGAAAGTCTGGCAATCTCCCATTCGCACCTTAGAGGAATGTGTCTAGAAAAGTATTCATTGGGATCCAGGCGAGATACGCGACGACCCGCTTCTGCAGATATGAAGTCGAAGTTTCCGAAAGATTGAAGGAGAAAGCAGTGCTTCATAGTCTGATGGAAAGCGGGCTGCCGCAGCCTAACAGGCAATGTCTAAGGGCAGTTTGGAGTTGGGGCGGAGCGCCCTACTAACTCCAGCAAATTTTTCAACCTCCCTATTACGATTTCTTTGTCTAATTCCAAAAACACTAACATTTTTAAAAATCACTGAGCATTGTTACTCTATTCGCTGTGCCAAATGAACAGCCCGAAATAATTAACTGCATAGTGCAATTATTGGTAGCATTAAAAGTTGCTGAAATAGGCATTATTGCTCACTCACGTCAGCGCACAGCGCTGCTACAGCAACAATATCAAAATCAACAACAGTCGCTTGTAATTGTATTCGTAGTAACTCAATTATGATGAAGAAGCAAAGTAAACAATTGAACTATGAAGTATTGGTTCGGTTTCTGCAGTTCTTACTATCTCTTTGGCAGAAAGTTTTGAATTTTTTCTGCATCAAATATATATGTATGTATGTATGTTTATCTGTAATTGCAGTGACGACAAAATACATCTGTGCATACTTCTTCTTCTTATTTTGGAAAGGTAGAAGCTACGGCTATTACCGAAGTCCAACAAACCGCTAACTGACCCGTCTAACTTCCGCCCACTCCGCATGTGGCGGGTAAACTCCTAGAGCGTATAATTTGCAAAGCTTAAAAAATAAATTTATTAAAGACTCCATCACCAAATCAATTTGGTTTCCGAAAGGAAAATTCAACTGTTGACGCCATCAAGCTGCCAAAGAATATGGCGAAGGATTGCATAAAAGGAAGGAGGCCCTATCAAATATTGTCTTTGAAATAGTAATTATTGATATTAAAAACGCATTTAACTCGGGATTCTGGAAAAAGATTCTAGCGGCCCTAGATGAGTTGTCAGCAACCATGTATCTCTCTGGAATAAGCTCTAACTATTTTGATGTAAGAGCGCTACGAAAACTTATCGATTTAATATGAGAATATTTTATAAACACAGATTAACGAGGGACGAATTTTGTATGGCTAATCCCTTTTTCTAATTACAGATTAGTGGGCTAACCTCGAAAACGAGGGTAATCTACTTATTTGTAAATCTAGTTTAAGACAGTGAATCGACTGCACGTTATCTTCAATTTCACCTAACGGCAAGCTCAGGAAAAGCCCGATCCGACGGATTTGGGCCGTAGGGAGAGGTATGTTAGACGATCTGATGTGAGTGGACATATGAAGAGGTGTTCGTCGAGGCATCTTATTCAAATTTGACTGAACAGTTTAACCTGCTACAATATCCAGAATGGAGTTGTGTCGAAAGTATTTCGAGCTCCACAAAGCAACTCCACCACCTTGTTTGCGATGAGTTGCGTTGGTCTTCTTCGGTGATAGAGTTCAAGGCGTGAGAGTTGGCGAAGGTGTTGTTGATTGGTTCTCTATGAATGACCTGTCTATAATAGACTATATTTGTACAGTCCGTCTAGTTCAGCAGAAGGTGTATTCCAATTCCCAATCGGCTCTATACGATCGATTTTTTCCGGACAAAGAACTATTGTTTTAGTTGTCTAATGTTGTTTAGATCGTTGAACCACATTGGGTGGAAATTTTTCTTTTTTTTTTTTTTTTTCTGTTTCACTTGCAATCCAAAATACTTGGTACTTATTTTACCTTATTGAACTCTAAATTAAATCTGTAGCTACTTTTGACAGTCCTATTTCAATTATGGTCATGATTTCTGACTAACAGTAAGTGTTATTGTAGAGAATATTATATAAGTATGTAAATGAAAACCACTTCATCCGCTTTCTTCTTAATTTGAAAATGAGATACCGATATTTTTTTTTTTTAATAGCCATTTTTCGAATAACTCGAAAACCACGACTCCACTCTTCATAAGCAATTTCGTGATGGTCGTGAAGCCTGAACCACCTAACTCTAAGCTCACACCATTTGATTTATGTGCATACAGCTTTCTTGAATTGACTAAACAGCCCCTAACTTTGCATGCTGAGAAAATTTGACTATCTTATAATAGAACCCGCTGCAACAGCTGTCATGTAGGAGACACTGAAAAAGGTTGGGTTAGGTTAGGTTAACGTAGTATCCAACTAAGAACTTAAGCCAAATGTCATCGTGGTGAAAGTTGTATTCGCAAATTTGTCCGGATTGCCTGTGGCCTGCCACCCACTCTATGTGAGTGAGGAATTTAGTAGCTAGCTTTGTCAAAAGCAAGGTTTACAACAAGTTTAGAGCCATTTGCATTTATGGCGATAGAACTTGCTAAGGTAATACACCCACTTAAATTGCTGTATGAAAACGTAGCAGCATCTTTTTGTTCACAACAAAAAACTCACAGACAACAAAATCTACAAGCATTGGTTTAATCCGCCGCTGTAACACCACAACGGCGAATTTACCTTTATTTTGGCACAAAATCAACCGTCATCCATTCCTCCCACCCAATGGCTGTAATGCAATGATTGGTCTGACAAAGCAGCCATTTTCCCCCACTTTTGAAAATAATGAATGAAATTATAGAGTAAACAACAAATGTTGGCTGACTTTAATGCACCAGTAGCAATCGCAATTTCTTGTTGCCCAGTTCTGTTGTTCTTTTTGTTGTGGCATTATGGTACTATTGCTACAGACGAATTTTTATTACAGCAGATGAAGTAGAAATTGGTGCACGAATTTGTTGAGTTGCCAGCATTACAACTGCCACTACTAAGTACTTATGTATGTGTGTGTGTGTACCAACTTTGTAATATTACAAACCTACATACCAAAAATTTCTTGTGGCGTTGGCCTAAATGTGGGTAGCTTCTAAAAAAAAAAATGTGTTCATCACTAACAACGACTGAGACTGACCTAATAACCCAGTGTTAAACAGTCGTTATTGACGCAATGGCTTGCATGGAGTTTTACGTTTATTTTGCAGCCTTGCGGATCGTGCATAAGATCATTTCTTTTTGGAGATTTGGCTGTTTGAACTGAGTACAGTTTTAAAATTTTTAATAACAAAGAATGTAAAAGCGACCGATTGAAAAAATTTAAATATCGGAAGCCAGCAGCCATAACAGAAAGCTGAAGTTCAGAAGAGTTTTCTTGTAATTTAGAAATAAGAGTATATCTATGCGTCAGGCATTTCTTTTTTTTTTTTTTTTGCTAACTGGCGAGAATTAGAAACACCAAGTAAAGTGATAAGAAATTTTTGAAAAATTTTTGTTAAAAATAATAACAAAAATATTTATTTGAAATATATAATTGCCACTACAAATTTATTTAGCGCACATACGCGTTGTTAATTCCATAAAAAAAATATCCAGCCCACATACGCTCACATTCACTAATCTTCCTTCTTCGACAGCTCTTCGACCAATTTGGCACTTTGCGCTTTAATCTGTTTGCGATTCAGTACATTATGCAATGGTTTGGATTCCTGTAGCATATCTTCTTCATCGTCGTCGTGTTCCTGCACTTCTGCACTATCGCCAATATCTTCAATTTCCATGTTTTCGAGGAATATATCCTGATAGTTATTAACAAACTGCTTCAATGCGTCAGCTGGCACATCCTCCTTGTAGGCGCTCATTAATTTGTGGACCTTACGGATAACCGTATGCATAATAGTGTCAACTAAAGCGTGGGCCAGAGATTATTAAAAAAAAAAAAACTTTTTTTTTGTTTAATAGTTTTATTTAGCTCACTGTTCTCCTCATACGGTTCTGGTGCGCATGCGCGCATCGTCAACATCTCAAATTTCAGCAAAGGCAAGCGTAAATATGAATTTGGATATTTCATACGCGATAGTTTATCGGTGCGATCGACATGTCGAAGAATCTCATTTAAATTCCACAATGAAAAGCTGCAAAGAAATTTGTGTTGAATTTTATTTATTTTATATTGCATGATGTAGCTGTGGAACTCTGTGGAATGTGTAGCCGATAGAAATGAGAAACCTCTAAAAAGCTTTAATCTTCAAAACTCTTTGCCCGCGTGATATATTTCGATCGTAATTGACTTTAGAGGTTTTAAGCGATGCAAATTGGCATTAAATCTATAGAAAGCTTAAAAAAGCTCTTCCCGCAGGCTACTTTTTGGTCGTAACTAGAGTAATTTTGTGTTCATCATTTCGCAAGCAGCAGGCAGAGCTTTTTTTAAGTTAACTTTCTGCACAAGGTAAAAGCTTTTTCTAGCCAGCACTGTAGCACTTACCGCAACATGACATAGGCATCGGCACGATTTTTTATATATGCAATCATTTTTTCCTCCTCCTTATCCTCCGCTTTAATGGCATCCTTCAGTTCACGTATACGCTCCATACGACTAAATTTATGCAAATCAACTTGATTGATACTTAAATGTGCCGGAAATTTGTTCTACTCACCCTATTTCCTGCTCTGACAAGCTATTCACCAATATGCCCTCTAATACTTCAGCGCGTTTCATCTTCATCTCCAGCGTTTGATGGCCCAGCATATCGTTTTCGATCATCTTATTCAGCTTGATATTATTTTCCATTTGAGATTTTATTCTATAGACAAATTAGAAATCATAGATGTTTTAAAATGTAACAGAGGATTGAAATTGACAATGAAAGATTTCACGTAGTTTTATTGCACTTAAAAGATTCGCTTAAAGGAGAAACTCGAAAGCTCATTTCATACAAAACTCGAAAGCTCATTTCATACGAATTTCTAAAGTTTAGTAAAAGCTCCCTATCATGAGCTTTTTTCAAACTGCCAAACATTCTTATATAGAAAGTCTTCGATACAAATTATTTATGATTAACTAACCTCGGATAGATTTCTTTGGCTTGCGAACAGAGCGTGGCGAATTTTACTTGTTTTATTGTATTCTCAATTACTTCCAACTCATTCTTGAGGAACATCATGCTTGTCGTTTCACGTACATAACGTTTAGCCTTCGATATGGGATCTCCGCTTTTGATCGTTTGCTTGGGTAAACTCGATCGTTTGGCATCTTTGCGATATTGTGACATCATTTGCAATTTCGATTGCATGCTTTTACGCGATTTATCCTCCATTTGCTGAATGAAGACGAATTTTACAATTTTAATCAATCAGATGCTGTTTCTTTTTTGTGAACTATTTTTCCACTTCTTTGTTCTGTGGCATTAAAAATATTTTCTGCCATTCCCACTCTGTGTACTTACCCTATACTCTTCACTGAGTTCCTTAAATTTCGCAATCGCTGGCATGCCCAAGTACAGAATATGCTTAATAAAATTCGCCTGNCTTTTTTGTGAACTATTTTTCTACTTCTTTGTTCTGTGACATTAAAAATATTTTCTGCCATTCCCACTCTGTGTACTTACCCTATACTCTTCACTGAGTTCCTTAAATTTCGCAATCGCTGGCATGCCCAAGTACAGAATATGCTTAATAAAATTCGCCTGATCTTCAATGTCTTGGCTAAGCGAGCGCAAGATTGGCTCGTAGAAGATGCCATCGTGTCGCAGCACTTGAATCATTTTCCTATAGGTGCCATTTATGGTTTTAATCGCTTTTAAGCGCACATTGGAGTTTTCAATTTTCTTGCGAAATACTCGCGATTTGAGCTCTTCTTCCAACACAAATTCATTCTCGTACTTGATGCGATTCTCTAGGACAGCGCGTTCAAGCTGAAAGCGAAGGCGATATGTATGGGAAGAGGCGAGTAAGATACGATAGGAGATTAGACCGACGGTACAAATATATTTCAGAAAGTGATAGACGAAATGGGGGTCAGATAATAGATAATAGATAATAGAAAATAGAAAATAGAAAATAGAAAATAGAAAATAGAAAATAGAAAATAGAAAATAGAAAATAGAAAATAGAAAATAGAAAATAGANATAATAGATAATAGATAATAGATAATAGATAATAGATAATAGATAATAGATAATAGATAATAGATAATAGATAATAGATAATAGATAATAGATAATAGATAATAGATAATAGATAATAGATAATAGATAATAGATAATAGATAATAGATAATAGATAATAGATAATAGATAATAGATAATAGATAATAGATAATAGATAATAGATAATAAACAAAAAAGAAAAAATATAAAGGAAAAATGTTAAAAGATAAAATTAAACAAATAAAAGTGAAGAGATAGAATATGCAAGCGTTAAGCATTAAAGAAAAAGTATAGAAAAAGGATAAAAGACTTTCTCTTTCGAAAATTCCACTTCTTTCTCTTTCTGCTCACTGCCCACTCAACTCACCAACTTATCCTTATAAACATTTTTCAATTGATCCAAACGAAACTTCAAACGATCTCGCTCCTTGCGCATCACAAACGTACGCTGATTTATATTGTCCACCACCAACTCTACGGGCATTTTCTGATACAAACGTTGCATATCCTTGTGATTGATCAGAAAATTCCTAATTTTCTTGGTATTGTCGCCATAGAGTACATTGGAGAGCTTAGTGCGGCCATCGCGACATTGACGCTTCAAATTGCGATTCTCGCGTACGTAACGCTTGTGGTTAGCGGCTGCTTCGAGTTTTTTAAATACCAAACGCTTTGCTGTACAGGAGAGGAGTGCTTACGATTACGTCCTCCGCTTCTCTTTGCGGTTATGACCAACTTACATAACAAATCAGCCATGCCCTTGAACTGCTCTGTCAGCGAAGTTGGTGTCCAACGATCGTCGACCACCATGTGTTGGCGCACATATGAAACGCCGAAGAAGCCATGCGTGCGAACGGCACGTGGATGCACTGGTTTCGGCGCCATAATAAGACTAGCCGGTTGGCGCACCTTTTCAGGTGAGGAGCTTAAAGTTAAATCAACCATTCTGTATTTGTTGCTGTACTTTCTGAATTGGAAAATTCTTTAATGTTCGACTTATTCACAATTTTTCGCGTTATTAGTATGTTTCTCTTTAAAATATCTTAGATTCGAAAAAATTTCTTAAAAAAAGTTTTTTCTTTGACAGTCTTTGTTTGAAGATTGAATTCAAATCGTCAAAGATGGTACAAAAGAAACACAATTGGTATCGAAAATGCTACGACAAAAGTTATTCCGACCGTTTAGGCAGTTGTGGTAAAGTTTTGTAAGATTTTACTTACTTAAAAATGTTGTGTAAATAAATTTTGCCAAAAGTTTTTGTTATTGCTGCGTTTTTACAGTTTCTTCATATGATGCGAAAATTATGGCGCCTAAATGCAAGCAACAGGAGTTAATTTTTACTTTACTTCCGTTTGGCAGCCAAGCCTCATTTGCTAAGCACCCCCAATACCCCTGCAGAAATTGAAAACTCAACAGAAGTTGATACGAACTACAGAATAAACAGTTAGCCGGTTTGCCGGCACAAAAGATATGAAATCGGACACCGGCTTATGTAAAAGCTCCAATTGCTTTGCACTCTCTCGCCGCCAGCAAGCCGGCTTCCCGGAAATCCGAACGTCTGAAACGGCACTCAGGTCACTAAATCCATCGTAGTCCGATTGGCTGTAAAATTCATGAAATTCATGATATATTGGCCCCCAAGTGCATGATTAGAAATCAGTCATTTGTAGGTATTTACATTGCTTTGACTCCTCATCATATAAAAAGGGAAGACAAGAACAAAATTAATGTAAGCAAACAGTGTATTCCTTAAATTTTTTCTTTATATCATTTCGTTGTTTCGTTTTGCTAAAAAAAAATCTCTAATATTTTTAAACCGTTCTTAAGTTGATAAACAATCAGCCATCATGAGTTTCATTTTCCTCGAACCGGTTCATTTTTCACTTTTGGTTTCCATAATTTTACTATGGGCGGATGACAAATTTTCGGGTGAATTTTTTTCAAACGAAACTCAGGATAAGGCAGAATCTTTGTGAAAAATTGGAGAAAATATTTTTTTTGAAAATTTTTGAAAATTTATTATTATTTATATTGCACAATGCTGAAAATCAAATTGAGAAATACGACCTTCTCAAGCGCGTTTTTTAAAAGTATATTTTTAATGTGTACGAAATAATTTTGTGTGCCACATACAATAATTTTTCCCGCAAGAACAAAATACATTGCAATATACAGCAAAATACAGCTGCAATATTTTATCAGATGTTGCGTTGTGGGTTGTAAAACAAATTCGCATTTAAAAGTCGATTTCGAAAAAATTACTAATGTAAGCATAATTTGAATTTATTTTGGATGAATATAAACAGTCTATAATTAGTCTGTTCGACAATATAATGGTTATTGCAAATTATCACAAATTATCAGATTTTGACGTTCGCGTCCCCAAAATGCAAACCAGGGGAAATTGAGAGCGCAAAGTGACCTTGGAGGGGAAGTTTCTAATTCATGCTGGAAAAATTTTTGCCAGCAGCATTTTGACAACATGAAAAACAGCTAATCAAAGTCATCTGTTTGCAAATTATGAAATTAGTGAAATTCATTTTGATGATTTTCAAGTTTAAAATAACGTATTACAACTGCAAATGTTTCGGAAGAAAGCACTTACGTTTGCTTAGAAAATTGCTTTAGGTAAACTTTTAAGTTATACTCTCTTAATGATTTCTGTTTTGTGCTCTTGTATGTAAACAAAAATTCGATCAGCTGAACTAAAAACTTTTAAGTTTTTGCTAATTTTGCGTTCGTGTACTTTTTTGTTTTCCGATTTGATAGATAATCGTTCGTAACTCTCCGGCAGGTTTCTGCTGGATATTTTTCACTGGAGATCCATTCGAACAGACTAAATAATGTCGTAACCGATAAGTCCCATTAGTAATCGCCAATATTTTCTGAACTCATACAAAAGTCGTAAGCCATTTCTCACAGACATGGCTCTCGTTGGCGAAGCTTCCGTCAAGCATATCGACTCAAGTTTTTGCGACGCCTAAATGTAGGCAACAGCAAAGAGTAATCAATATTCTACAACTGGTATTTTGTGACTTGAAAACAAGGCAGAATTATGGCCATTTTTACAAGTAATGCAAAAAGTTGTTAAGAATATTTTTTTTTTCATAAAACGAGTTATAATTTGATAATAATGATTAAACCACAAAGCGGTTTCGACATTGTACAATCTGCAGTGTCATTTTGTATTCGTGGAGCCTAAGTAGTAATATGGAGAGGGTTTAAAAAATTAAGTAACACATTAATTTAATAATTCTTTATTTTTATTTCATCATCATAATCGTCATTGTCATTACAATCATCAGCTATGATTCGTTATTATTATCAGTTAACTTACACAAAACAGTTCATTTATATTTTTTTGTAGTGGTATTTCGCGGTAATATACTTAATTCTTTTCACATTTTCCGCCATTTGTTTTATTTTTTTTTATTTTTTTTTTGTAATTTAATTGTATTTTTTAATTCAGCTGTATTTACAAACAAAATGTATCATTTTAGGCAGATAAAAGACGCAAATACATACATATATGTAGATACATAATACAATATTTAACATAATTATATATTTATCATCGAACAGTATGTAATAATAAGTATATAATTTATATGTATGTAAGTATACTAAGTATGTAGTTGTGTAGGCGTTTTGCTATTTTGACGAGAAAGAAATAAGTAGTAGATATGTATAATCGCGAAAAAATGGTAGTAAAAAATAGATCAAATGTATAAAACGAAGTAGAAATATAGTGACTCAAACAAGTTTGCACATGTTGATTTTCTTAATATTTGCAATGTTTTGCAAAGCTTTGTAAAATTTTTTTATAACTTTTTTTCATAATAATATTTTTCATGCTTAAACCAAACTCCTTTAAATCAAGGTTTGAAATTTAATACGAATTTGGAAAAATTCAAAAAATGTCCACCGAAATTTCGAACTTTTTAATTTGACCTTTTAGAACCTTTTTGGGTGTGCAATTTATAGCCCATATAAAAACTAGTGTTGATTCTTTTTTTTCAAATTTTTTTGCAAAACGGTCTTGCGCATTTTACTTCATGTATTTTGAAAAAAGTGCAAAAATTCGCCAGCAAAAAAAAAAATTATAAAAAAACGCGCCTTTTTAGTTGCCTGAAACTTGCATTTTATTGGGCTACATTCCCATTTTTTAAATTCAGATTGAATTTCAAAATTTTTATGAATTTTTTTTTTGTTTCTGATTTTTTCTAAAGTTTGAAACTTCGTTTTATATGGCTTTGGTTAAAACATGAGATATATTTTTATAAGAAAAACATTTTGAATGGAAAAACATTTTTAATATTTAAAAACAAATTATTATTTGAATACTTGTTTGGGTCAGTGTATACATATATTCGGCAAAATTATAAAGTACAACAATCACAGATGTTTCTCAATTTGTTTTTGTTTTGCTTGTAAAATCGTGTGAAAAATTCATTCTCATGCCATCTGCGATAAGCATGATGGTTTACAGAAATCATAGTAAACTTGCGAAGAATTTGTAATTAATTTCTAACATCTAAGGAAATCTCTGATTTGGCGAGAAATGAAGTTTTTCTCTTTTATTTATGGGTAAATATGGAGTGCAAGGCTATTTCATGAAATATTTAAAACATTATCTTTTTCACATAAGCTACGTAGTCGAATAAAAAAATTCCTTTTTGTTAAATTTTGGAATGCGCTATATTTTGAGAACATAAATTAATACCTAAATATACATGTGTACAGATAATACCAACACATTTATGTATGTTTATTGCATTTGCATTTTACAATGGGGCTCTAATATTTGAAAACAAAAAACATTAGATGAAATATATAATTTATTATAGTATGCTTAAAAGGGATGTGGTTTTACATCCTGCAGTGAAAAAAATCTTCTTGATACATATCACTCGTTTTCATATCCCTTCATATGGTGAGATCAACCTTAGCAGGAATTATCAAAGTGAGAGGATCCTTTTATTAAGTGATAGATAGGTTAAGGCCTCAATGGTCCTAGAGTGTGTAGAGAAATTTAATGCTCTGGCTGAGGATAAAGCTAACCAATTGCAATTGTAACAATAAGTCTTGGCTACCTAAACCTTGAACTTTATTATAAAAAAAAATATAAAAATTTAATGGGCCACAAAATTGCATGCTGACAATCTTTCTAAAAAATCTAACTAAAAAGTCAGACATTTTTTTATTTCTTTTTTGTTAAATATTGCACAAAGTTCAAAATTTGGATTAGTACGGTTTTTGCTAAAAACTGAACTATATTTATATAAAAAAAAACATGCTGAAATTAAATAATAAAAAAATTGTTAAAACTTGTCCATCTGTGGTGCGCTCATAATTTTGACACGGGTGTGTGGTTAAGTGCTAAAAAGTTGTTAATAGAATTTCGAAGTACAAGATTTCCATGTGAACAAATTCTCTCAAAAATTATAAAGCAAAACAAAAGCATTTTTTCCTATTTGTTTTTGTTTTTGGCCTGTTAATTTTTACATGCAATTGGCGATAAGGCTAAATAGATTTTATAATCCCGATGGAAAAACAGTACTTTTTTTTTGGTATGAAGAGTGATGCACCCTAATGTTGGTAAATATTTCCTGTATTTTTTTAGTTGAAACAGAGGACCTGGATTATAAGTCATTTTGGTTTCGGCAATCAAAAATTTTTGCCATGAGCAAGAGATGGATCTTACGCATCTGAACCTGTATCCAAGACTGCCGACTATGCATCGACGTGGTCAAAGCAAAGGATTTTCTTTCTCGCTAAGAGGGAAGCTTATACCGCCTTGATTCGTTCGATAGCAAAGACAGGGAGCATCAGGTCAGGTAGACGGAATCATTGGGAAAATGATAAGGCCAAGGGATTCTCTCATTGGGTCGTACGCATAAAAACCAAGCAAGTGCCTTTTACGCCTAAAATGTCATACCTTTCACTTAAATTTATTAGAACAAATTGAGTACGAAGTGTGAAATTTTAAGAATAGGATTTTGCTTAGGTTTTATGCATACCAACCCCATTGTCTCTCTTCAAGAATATGGAAAAGCCATGACATGGTATAATGAAATTGAGTGCAAGCGCCACCAAGAAAAAATAAATTTGGCACTACAACAACAAAAATATAGAAAAGGACATAGGACAATCGGATTCACATAAACGGGAACGACCCAGATTTATATCTAATCAAGTGCTATCATTAAGTATCCTTTTAAAATGCGCAAGGCAACGAACAACTATGCAAACTTTAATGAAGATAATACGGCGTTACACTGACCATGAACTTTTCAAGTGACCTAGGTCGTAGGTTTCAGAATCGAGTAAGTCACGAAACAACGTTTAAAATTTTTGTAACACCCCCAAATTCTCGAATTATTCTTAAAAAAACATTTTTACATCATTTCCCGCACTAAACAATTTTTAGCTCGGCTATTTTTTAACTAATTTTTATATGGCTTTTGAAAGACGAATATTTGTACTATTTAAAGAAATAATAAGTTTTGTGAGCACATTGTAAATAAGTGGAACATTTTTGGAATAAATCTGAAATTTACACCAATTTTTATTACTTTACACTTTAACAATTTTTTGCCGAAATTTCAAAAGAAAATTGGATCTTTATGACATTACTTCGAAAAGAATGTTTCATTCCGAGTAAAACTAGGTACCACTTATACAAATCAATAGACAATTTCGGAAGATATGAATTTTCTAAAGATTTTTCTAAAATCACTCCCATATTTCGCAGAAAATTTGGATCAGTGGATTGGATTGGATTTGAGGTTTTTTAGAAAAAATGTCATAACTTCATGATTTTTTTTGATTGATTTTAATGAGTAATACTTAGTTTTACTCGGTATTAAAAATTGTTGGAGTGGAAAAACTAAAAATAATTGTTGTTGCTTCCAGAGTTTTTCCAAAAATTTTCCGCTTATTTACAAGGTGCTCACAAAACTTATTACTTTTTTAAAAAGTAAAAAAATTCTTCTTTCCAAAACTATATAAAAACTTGAAAGTCGTTAAAAAATAACCAAGATACAAATTTTTTATTACCCGAAGTCATGCGAAAATGTTTTTTTAAAAATAAGTTGAGAATTTGAGGGTGCTAGAAAAATTTTTAAAACAATTTCATGAATTACTCAGCCACCTCTACGACTAGGCCATTTAAAAAGTTGGTGCAATTCTTTTTTATTTTGTAGCACCGTGTAATTAATCGTTTTTAATAAAACCAACTATGAAACGAATTAATAATATTTTAAGCCAGGTAAGGTAAGTATGATCGAATAGCTTTTCGCATGACAACAGTGATTATTGTGAGCATTTTTTTGCATAATTTTTAACTTTAACGTGAAATTGTTTGCATTTTTTTATAAATATATATATATTTCGATACACAGTCATGTGAAAAATAGGAATATGGCGTTTTTACTTGTTTCGGCTATTTTTTTCTTTTTTATTGTTTAATTTTTACTACTTTTTTTATAAAAGTATAGTTCATGAATCCCTATTTCAAACTTTGTAGAAAAATTTTACAAATTCCATAAATATTCACAACAAATTTTTTTCGGAATTTCTAGAAAAATGCTAACTAATGTATTTCTACAGCATATTAATTCTAGTTTAATAAAGTCCGAGCTTCAAGTGGCTAAGAATTCGCGTTAATTTTTGTTAGTATTTTTTTTTGCTGAAGTTGTCATACTTTTTCTTCCATACAAAGTTCGGCGACTTTTTATATGACGAAGGAAATAAAAAGTTTTTTGAACTTTTCTACAAAGTTGAAATGTGGAATTATGTATATATATGGCGTTTGTTATACATATGACAAGCTGGTTTCTATAAAAATAATAATAAACATTAAACATGCAAAAGAAAAATAGCTAAAACTTTTAAAAATGTAGTGTCCCTATTTTTTCACATGACTGTATACACATTTATGTAAGTATGTCTGTATGTATATATGTATATATAATCTGCACATGTTCAACATTTTAATATATTTATTTGCTTTGTTTTGTGGGTTTCAGGGGTTTCCGCATTTTCCTTTTTATTCTGTTTCCTAAATATACACTTCCTGCTGCTTTTGCTTTTCACTTTAGCTTTCTAGAAAGTTTTTTTTTTTTGCATTTCAACTGTTTTACATACATATACATATTTTTTACGCCAACACTTGCTTACATTAGTTACACAAACTACTACAGATCGGTTGTCTAATATTTTTTTTTACCTTTTTTTATAATTTTCAAATACTTGTACACTCTACAAAGCCAAGCGATTTTGTTTTCGTTTTGTTTAATTTAAATTGTTTTTATTTCATGCTAGTTTTCTTGTTTTGTGTCTCACTTACATTACTAATACATAGAATTTTCTTCATAATTCATATACATACACGTGTATATTATATATTTCTCTTTCTATATAACATAATAGTAAGTATATAGCGTATAGTTTATATATTTTTCTTCTGCCTTCTTTTATTTTTAATGGTACTTCATGTTTTTTTTTTCGCTAATTTCATTCTATTCAATATCGCTCTTTGTGATTGGTAATGGTATTTGCAAGTTATACAATACAATACAATACAATAATTTTAATTATAAGAAATAGTACAGTACAATAATAATAATAATATTGTACAGTATTTATTATTATTTTTTTGCTTTTATTTATTTTCTAACTTCAACGCATTGCAATCATTGCATTTATTTTAAATTTTTTCTCTGCCAGCATTTTTCATATTTTAAATTTATAATATAATATAATCATAATAGTATTTTAATTGTATTTAATTAATTAATTTATAATTTGAAACTGAGTTTTTCCTTTTTATTTTTATTTTTTCCGGTGAATGTCATTCACAACTTGCACTACACGCTCCGTGTCCCTCAAAAAGGAAGGCAGCTAAATTTTCTACCCCAGCTAAGCTTTTGTTTCTACCCTCCAAATCCCCCCTCCCTCTTTCCCCCAACAAACCACTTAGTCAACCATTTTGTCTTTTTCTTTTTGTATTTTTACTCCCCCTACCCAATCGCTTTTACAAATTGATTGGTTATGCTTTACTTGTTGGATGGCATCATACTCCATTGCAGCAGCAACACCAGCTGTGCTGCTCTCTGCTGCTCTGCTAGGTTTGGATTGTTAGGGTTCTATACACATTGTTGTTGCTCACGGCTGCCCGCTACATTAGCCATCTTATAACACACCAAATGGATCGAGTGGCGCCCCCTTATTTCCGCCGTTGGGTTGCTGATGGAGTGATTGCGGTTGCATTGTTATCGCACTACTGTGCAGTGTGGGCGGCGCCGCTGTCATCATCGTCGGTTGTACGCCAGTCAAAGGGGCTTGACCCAGCATAGGTTGTCCCATCACCGGCATTCCCTGCTGCAAATTATTGATTACGTCCGTGGATATCGATGGAGCGATACATAGCGTTGGAAATGAAATAATCAGTAGCGTTAATCGTTTGTATATTTTGTCGTCGATCGTTGAGTATCGATGCAGACATTCAGGTGCGTTACAATTAACCGTAATTCAGCACCGTAATTGTGGTCGAAATCCGATGGAAAATATTGAAGGTCAACATGTAGCATTCCACATAAAATGGATAATGAAGTTTCGAGTATGCCATCAGCGTAACAAAGTTGAAGATCCACAGCAATCAACAACGACGATCAGCCAAAAAATCATCATATTCCAACGTTTTCATCAGAACATAGCGCAGAATAAGAAACAAAAAAAAAATATGAAAGAAAAAATAGTTATTAGTAAAATTTTTGAGTTATTGTGTTTATAATTAATCAACAATTTCGCTAAAAAGGATAATCGAAAGGAGCGCATGCATCGAAAGAAGACAAATCCGTATCGTTTTCGCGTACAGAAAAAGGGTAACACTGTCAGAACTACGTTCAAATAGTGGGGCATCAAACAGAGCAAGAAGTCAGAACAGAACAGAACGCAAGAAAATCGAGAATATTTAGAAGAACCAAAAACTTCAGGGTTAGGGCAACCAAAATGCGTTGGTGAAAAAAAAGCATTAAATCAAATTAAAGCGCAAACGAAGAAGATACGTTAGAATCGTATGCAACTAATTGAATGGAAATCTAATACTCAAAGAAAAAAACACACACAACTTTTTTATGTAAATGTAAAATGCTGCAAAACGCTGCGTATCTATACTAAAGAATTGAATACTGAGTTCATTACAAGGGGGTTAGTACTTATAGCAGTTGTTTCAACTCTTTTTACTTAACTAATTTTCGCTAATCGAAACCAAATTAGAAGGAAAAAATATATAAATGACATAAAAGGAGTTAAGAAAATAATACAAATTGAACTTTTACATAACAATGTTTAACTAAAATAGATGCATAATAGTTATTAACAAAAAGGAAATGTTAAAATAATAATTTAAATAAAAAATCAATTCAAATGTTTTATAGAAATTTTATGAAATGTTTCGAGGAGCTAGATTTTGAGGTTTACAAACAGCAATAGGGTTTGAAAGCGTGGTGAAAGAAGATAGAAATTCACTACTGTTTACTTAGTTTACCTACAAAACCTAGTGCCTAAAGATATGCTACATAATCAACCAACTGGTTACAAAACGCAAGGAACGCAACGGAATTTGCCCCACTTCTCAAATATCACATTACAAAACTAATTGAAGTTAAATGTAGTATAAGTTTGTAGCCCCGCTCGTCTCGTAAGAAAGAAAAATATTTAAAAAAGAAAACTTTCAAACTCTTAGGCATTGTTTACAAGAAAGTTGACATTTAAATAAAACGATGAAGAGTATTCCTTCTTCTGGATAAAAAGGGTGAAAATTTAAATGAATCAGACTTGCACGTAGGCGGGTCGTTTATTTGTACCAAGGTAAAATGATCAACTTCATATTTTGCGTAGTTTATGTTAGATTTATCTATGTATATGTACTAGATTACATAAAAGACAATGGAATCGCGCAATCTCATGGCCCCGAGGCCAAAGGGGTTTCTTTTTCAAAGGCTTTGTCAATAGGCGACTGCAGTCCCTAGGTGAGCATTGAAAGAGAAGTTTCGAAAATATTACGAAGCAATCCGGTGAAGGTACGTGGGGATCCAAAAAAATCATTTTATGTTAAAAAAAATCAGCTGGGGTTTATAAGCTGCTAAGAGCTAAGAATTTTCTCTGTTGTGGGGAATGTTGAAATCTTTACAAACGTCATATTTAAGTTTCCCCGATTAGAGACGGGCAAAGCAACAATATATTATGACAACCAGGCGGCGCTACTGCCAATAGCGTTACCCGTTACCAAAACCAAGCCAGTTAGGGAATACAAAGTGATACTGTGCTGTCTCTCAGTCAACTACCGTCTCTCTTGTCAGGTTTCCCGGATAAAGAAACCTAGAACGCAATGAGAGGTCGGATGAGTTGCCGAAGTCAGGAGCCGGTTTGGATGAAACCGAAGCGCTAGCACTGGGTTGCCCGCTTGGAATAGTCCAAAAAGAGATTGCAGGTGGTCAAATATACAGACTTGTAAAATATCGGGAAAACTATGGCCTGACTACAACGACACGAAGACCTTGGAAATGCCCTTAAGCAAACATGCTGCAAAAATAGGTCCACTAGACTATAGCGAAGAAAGTGTCCAGCATTTCCTTTCTGAATGTCCAGGTCTTTCGAATATTAGACACAAAATATTAGGAAAACACCTGGTAGCACAGATAAATGACCCATTAGGGGCTACCATAGCGAGGCAGATAGATTAGAGAACCCAAATGGGTGGACCTAGCAACATAGAATGTGCATAGGCAAAATATCCCCTGCCTCGGAGTTCGTCCGTTGACTCTCCATTTTAGTACAGATATAGTAGTTTCTTTTTGCAGTGACCCATGGGAAAATAAGGAAGGGAGCAAGAGTCAAAGTCTTGAAAGACCTATACCATCATTTTAACAAACATGAACGTAGTGAATTCATCGCTTTTTTCGTTCAGCCTTTAGCATCCTCTTAAAAATTAAAAGCTGTTGATGCATAAAAAGAGGTAATCTTTTTAAATTCTCCAATGAATTTGGTGTTTCTGAAGCAAAAAAATTTGGATGTGATGAGATGAGGACATAGAACGCCCAGAGCCTGAAAAAATCTGTTTACTGGTATTGAAAGTATGCCAAAATATCTTAAGTACACGACAAGGGTTAACAGTGATATTTTCTGTGTAAGAAGTACACTTATAAATACTAATTTACAAGTCAGTTAAGACAAATATATAGGAAAGGATAGTTGAGGCAGGAATACTTAGAGAAGAGGTTACAAATGTTCAAATCATTTCCCAATAAGAAAAGTGATTGTTTTTTGACCGTTCATATGGATGACCAACATATTCGAGGTCTCTATAAACGCTTAGAGAAGATTCCGAGCGTTCTGGTGTTAAACAAAAAAAGGGCGATATTTGTAAGTGATCTGCATAGTTATAAACAAGAGAGCTTAAATGATGCTGTGTTTGTCTTCATATCACTTTCATCCTGAAACCACTATACATATGTATATTAGACGGTACCACGTTACACCCGAACAAATAAAATTCGCCGTTCGCCCAGAGTCTCAGGTATTTTTGCCAAGCAATTCGGATTTTTTTTTTTTGCTAAACTTAGGGGTTGTCTCTTTAGATTTTCAGTGACACCTTTTTACATACATACGGTAATAAAATTTGTAAAAGCTTTTATTAAGTTTCACCTATGCTTAATCAAATCTTATAATCAATTTTTAGCAACTTCCCGATGAGCTATAAAAGATGCAATTAACCCGCTAGAAGGCGCAGGAGTCAAGATATTCGGAACACTTTGACGACTGCAACTTCACGACGTAACGACAGCGGCATCATTTTGTCGACAAATGTCGCCTTGAAGCGAGCTTCTTAAACATTTTGAAGACCTCAGCGACATAGCAAACAGCTGATTTTAAAGTTTGACATTTTGGTATATTTATTTCACAAATTGTGGATTTTTATTTAAGTAAATAAGAAAAACATGAACAATCAAGAATATGTGATTAATTTTGCGTCAATTTAATTTTGCAGCACTACATCTACTCATTGTCGCCGGCAAAATTAGAAATAGATTTAATTTGGCGACGTCGACAATTGCAGTCCTGCAGCCAAGATGTCGTGCTGTCGTCAAAATAATTGTGTCCGTAAGAACGTGTGTATTTAAAATTTGACAGATGCTGCTTGTCGCTTGCTGTCGTCAAAGTGTTCCGAGCTTTATGGTTTGATTTGTTTTATATTTAGGTGGCACTAGGCCCGATTTTTCTTTCTTAAATACCACTAATAAAAGCTTGTCTTAAAACTTTCTTTAAATTACTTGTTTTTTAAACAGTTCTACTCGAATAATCCAAGCAAAAGTTTCGTGATTTTTGGCGTGCTTTAATTTAATGACATTAGGGTGGGAGGAACTGAGATATGGTGTGTAAGTACTAGAACGTGGTATTTGAGCTCAATGAACTTTGGAAGCAGAAAAATTTTCGAGACAAGAAGATCGATATATCACACTTTAAGATCCGACTGTGAAGGCCGAAGATATGAAAAACGTTCGGCAAAAAAAAATGGAAATTGCCTTGTTAAAATATTTTAGACTCAGGAGAGTACAGCAAATTTTTTTCGGGTGCGGTCTAATGTACATATTCTCAGAAAAATATAAAATTTAAATAATATTTTATTTAATATAGTATTGCTTTTATTTTTTCAGACACCCGAATCTGAGTAACGAAACGGACTGTTGGTGCAGAGATTCGAAGAAACTGAGTCGGTGCAAAACGTGACAAGACACGTGCGTCTTCGTACAGAACGTTCGGCCGAAAATATTGTGGTTATTTGAAAACGATGGCGATAATGCTGTTACGGTAAATGGTGAAAGTTATCTTGACACGGTAACAAACTTTTTAAGGCCTTAATTAGATGACATGGACTTCGACAATATTTACTTTCAAGAGGATGGTGCCACTTGCCATACAGCGCATGAAACAATGGCCCTATTACGAACGAAGTACCCATTACGCATTATCTTACGAAACCGCCGGCCAAATGGCGGCCGAGAACTTGCAATTTGACACCTTTGGACTTCTTTCTCTGGGGCTAAGTGAAAAGTATGCCAATACGCCTGAGACGATTCCCGATTCGCGTAATAAATTATACTTATAAAGCACGAACTATGCCAAAAATGCATGGGTAATTTTGATATACGCATCCTGTCTTGCCAGAGGAGTCGTGTTTCGTCCATAAATTCCATAGGCTAAAAAAACACGATGAAAAAAAAAAAAAAAAAAATTCAAAAATTTTGGAAAATCTGCGGTCTTATTGAATCACCCTGTACAATCAACCAAGCGAACTATTTCTTATTTAGAAACTACAAAGATTAGATAGTTAAAATCGTGAAGGTATAGACAGATGGTTAGTAGCAGTTAGATAGGGAGCATGCTTTCAAAATGGGTACAGGCGTTGTGAGATTACGATAGGTAGGGGCAAACAAACCGACTACCAAATTCAATCTCATAGTTGTAGTATAGTTGTATAGCAAACGCAAATGAGGTTATGTCAATATATTATGAGCGGCAAAATAAATTTGGTAAAATGATGCAAATAGAAAACCAATCAAAGAGATAACGAAAAATTCCAAGTATTAAAAAAAACTCCAAATTAAAAAAAAAAAACATAAAACTAATTCAAATTCAAATTTAAATTTAAATAATAAAAAAATTAAAAACATAAGAAACTGCTTACCTGCATATAATTTGGTATAACAGGATAACTAGCGTGTATATACGGATGGTTTTGGATTGTGATTGGCGCAGGACTTACTGTCATGCCATGTGCCTAAGATAACACGGTAGTAGTAGTAGTAGTAGTAGTAGAAGTAGTAGTGGTGGTGGTGGTGGTGGTTGTGATAATAGTAGTAGTAGTAGTAGTAGTAGTGGTGGTACGATTAATTAAGGTAGTACATACACACACACATAGATTCATTCGTTTCGAGATATCGTGAAAATCGCACGAGAATCAAATCGGCAATGAATGGTAAATGGAATTCGTTTGATTTTAATTGATTAATTGAATTCAGTTATTTTTAATTTTTAATTAATTAAGGTAATGAATGTAGTGAGCAGAATTAAGAGCGTATAGGAATTTCATTAATGTTTGTATATTTGTAATTTTTTGTGGAATTTTATTATGAAAATATTTTTGTTTTGGTATTTTTTTTTTTATATTATATTATGTTTGTAAAAATGTATGTGAGTTGACCGTTAAGAATTGCGCAATTGGCGAGTTGATTGAGTACATAAATTCGTGTGTATGTTGTTAAACGAATGAACGCATCGAATGAGTGGATAAAATTAGGGCATATGTAAAGAAAAGATAAAAAAGAGATGAAATAATAAATTAATAACAAATTTAAATAAAAATAATCTTATAAAAATATTTGAAAAGGAGATATGCATTAAATTGCTATACATAGCTAAATAATAAAAATAAATGTTCACAAAAGTGCAGTAAAAAAAAAAAAAAAAAAAAGAGGAGAGTGTAAGAAATTTAGAAAACAATTAGCGAAAATTTTTTTATTTTTTTATTTTATTGCAGCAAAAATCTGGCTTTGTGTTGGTACTCTGCTGTGATTTCTTACAAGAAGCTAGCTGAACATGTTGTTGTGGAAGTCGTGGTGGTCGTTGAGAGGTAAAAGTTCTTGTGTTCAAATATGTACATAAGTATGTATGTTTGTATGTACATGGAAAAAATTTGTGCGCTTGTTGATTTGTTGTTTTATCTCTTTATTTATTAAGTGCAATAGATATGTATGTACTTGTATTGAAACACACATTTTTATAGAGAAAAAACGAAAAAATAATAAAAGCCTAAAATGCAAGGTTTATAATAAAAATAATAATTTAATTGTTAAAATTGTATTTCTATTTTACTTTAAAATTTAATCGATATTTTTGAATTTCTATTTTTTAGATAAATTTTGTTTCGATTTACATTTTTCCGATTATATTGCAGCCGTTATTTTCAGATTTAAATTTTTAGATAATAAATGATTTAAATCGGTCATAAAAACGCAGTCTTCATTATATCGGTTTAAAATTATCGAAAAAATAAAAATCCAGAATACAGATTATTGTTAATCGAAGAAACATATCACAAAATAACTATTAAATTTTAAAATCAAAAAAAATATATATATACAAATCAGTGACTAAAAAACTTCTGAAACCGATGAATTTATCGTTTTTTAATTAAAGCAATATTTTTACTTCAAATAAGATGCCTCATATCTCACAGAAACCTTGAAAAAACTTTGATGAAACACTTTCCCTACCTTGTGAATGCCGGAAAAATATTCAAACGAGAAAGGGGAAGGCCTCGTATGCCAAAGACGAAGAAGAATAAGAGAATGAAAACATTGGTGGTAGCGTATTCATAAAAATAATTTGCTAGGCGTTTTTGGTGCTGACTAATGGTGATTCCGTTTTTTCCAAAAAATGTTGCCCTTCCCCGGTGCAAAATGTGTTTGATATTACACTCAACCCAGTAAAAAGTCATGTTTTTGCCTTTTTGTCCTTGTCTAGCTAACGCATTTCATAACATTGTCGTTTTAAATAACCATCTGATTTTCAGACAGAGAATGTGCCTTTTTTGCCTTTAAGAAACGAATACGAAATTTTCTCATCCTTTGCCTTCAATTTAGAATCGAACACAAAAAAAGGGGCAATCAAAAGGCGACATTTTTTCTTAGAAAAAAATATAAAATTTTTCAAGGGAAACTTATTATTTTTTAATTTAAAGTCAAAACTTCTAATTGATGGGCACAAAAATATTTATTTCTTTCATTTACACTCACCGCAAAAAGTATTGACACAGATATTTTTTTACAATATATGCAAAAATTTTTATTTTTCTTGCAAATGTTTTATAAGGCTCATACTACAACCAAAAAACATAAAAATATAATATCTAAACTTGTGTAAAACTCAGAAAAATACAATAAATTTTCATGCAAAATTTCAACTTTTTAATCAAATGTTTTAGAATTTGTTTGAGTATGCAGTTTTAGTAAAAAAAAAGTTCATGTATGAAGTTACGTTGATTTTTGAGAATTTTTTTCGTTGAGGACGTTTTCCATACACAGTTGGATTTTTTTTATTGAAAAAAAAAATCCAAAAATCAACGGTAAGTCCTTGCAACCGAAAACTTGCACTTTATTTAAAAAAAAATTATTGGCTACAAAACTGCATACTCAAAAAAAAATTCTAAAAAACTGATAAAAAGGTTAAAAATTTGCATGCAAATTTATTGAATTTTCCTGAATTTTGCAGAAAGTTTAGAAATTACATGTTTATGTTTATTGTTGTAATGTGAACCGTGTTTTTATAAAAATTTGGCGGAATAAATTAAAGTAAAAATGGTTTCATATATCGTGGAAAATTCCCTGTGACTATACTTATTTCCGTGAGTGTATGTATGTAGGATTTTTAATGCAAGATAAAAAATAAGCGTAAAGTTTTTGTTTCAAGTGATAATCATCCAAAACCGACGATGTGATTGACGATAAAGCAAAGGAAATATCCAAAAACAGATTTTTAGTAAAAAATTAGCAAATCAAAAAAAAAATCGTTAAAAGTTCACAATTGAATGGAAACTATTGAAAAAAATAAATGCATACATACATATACATTAAAAAAACCATAGCATAGTTCAAAAGAGGCACTCAAAAACCAAAGGAGAATGCTTAAAAATTTTCACAAAAAATACAAGCAAAAAAGGTAAAGTATGTTGACAAACGAAAATTTAATGGTAAAAAAATTTTCAATTTGTATCCTGCTAATTCGTCTTCTTGTAAACTTATATATTTGGATACATATTTTTGCAGTATATTTGTTGTTTTTGACATTACAACAAATATTCATTTTGGCACAAATTTATTCGCTTTTGGAAATTAGTCGTTTTTTATTTGTTTGTATATTCTTTGGAGTTTTCGATTAATTTATAGTAGGTACGTAACTATGTATATTCTTATTGGGTGATAAAAATACTATACAAATTTATATCGTATTTATATTTCAAGTACGAATTGTACAAGAAGTAGTAATAGTAGTGGTAGTAGTAGTAGTGGTGGTTGTAGTAGTAGTAGTAGAGTAGTAGTACTAGGTAGTACATTTTTATCTGAGCTAGTAAATTTGAAATAAAAGATTTTGCTTTGCTTTTTTTTTTTTAGTAGTGTAGTAGAAGCGATTGAGACTCACCATTGGACGATAGCCAGCACCAGTTGTAGCCGCCATTGGTTGAGGTGTCCAATTAGCACCGGGTTTCGCTGTGTTTTTCGGTGAATTCCATTGCACAGGTCTATACGGTAGTAGTAGTAGTAGTAAGTAGTAAATTTGGTATATGATATTATGATAAAATGAATTAATTTTAATGTATTGTGTAATGTTATACTTTTTTATTTGATGGATGTGTGTATGTGATATTACGTGATTGAAGAAAACTTTCTGAAAATACCAGAAATACTTTATTTTTTATTTTTTATAAGATTTTCTTCCCCGCCTTCCATTCGATAAAATCGATTATCAATCCTGTGTAGAGCTTTGCTTTTAACCCTGAAGAGCAAAATGGAATATTCCAAGTCAAAAATCTTCCATTTTCCCAAAAAGAGGTATAGCAACGATAGGTGGCAAGTGATGGCATTTAGGTGAAAAAAAATAAAAAATAAATACATATATATTTATTTAAATTAGATGTTAATGCCGGTATCCAATTCTTTTTTTTTGTTATACCGATGCGATTACCAGACAACACACGATTTAGATGGCCCATCGCACGGGTCCATATCTGGCGAATGTGCTGTATGAGGCACACCTCTGGCTTGAAAACGAAGGTTCTTTTGAGGCACAAATAAATATATTCGTTTAAAATAAATACCATTGAATTCGGTAAAGTAATTTGGGAGTTTTCATAAAAGCGTATTCGGTAGTATAACTGCATTAGCGGAAGAAAGCTGACTATGTAAAATTCACATTAATTTTTTATAAATGCATGTGAGCATATTATAAAAACAGTTTGAAATTCCACATATCGATGGGCCTCTGCAATAACAACTCTACTCAAATAATAACAAACTTTCACTAGAGCCAAATTAAAAATTTGCATGTCTTGGAATGTAATGACTGAATTACCTCCAGACAAAATCAAAATTTCAAATTTTGTGGGAAAACGCATACAAACCTTGATCAGTTCATACAATTGGTATACCAAAAGAGACATAGAAAGACACATATCTTTGATATTTTTGTGAAGTTTGCTCATTTGTTAGGCTGAGCATATTCTCCTTATCACGCTTATTAATTGTATGTTCAAATCTTCGAAAACGTAAATTTTGAATTACATCCCTATATTATACTAGACGTGCGATATGTCGATGCTCCACAGAAAAATATGATTTTTTATCATCGTAATTCGCTATACAGATAATTTACGTACATGAAATTTTGAGTTAAGTCATTATTGCAGATAATTCATTATAGATAAGCATTTCTGGTATTTTCAAATTCAAGCAATTTTTGTAAATCAAATGAATGTTTCTGTATTTTTTTTTTGCAAGATTTTTTATCTTGTTTACTATGTATACTTCAAAATGATTTTGTGCATTTTCACCTAGTTTTAAATGTGTTTATAATTTAATGACTTAGTTGCTTATGTTAGGTTAGGTGTTCAAAACTTTTTCGAAATATTTTTGTTTAACTTTCTGAGTTGCATTATTTTTACTAAATTGCTTGTGGTTTGTTGTTCTTTTCATTAAATTTAATTCATTGATTTTTAATTTAATTCTTTCTTGTTGTTTACTACTCACTTTGCACTGCTCGATTTATTTATATTCAGATTATCTACAAGTGACATTAGTGAACTATCCAAATCGCCGGTGAGTATTTTTCCAGTGCTAGCAGGTTGCATTTGCTGTTGTTGTTGCAGTTGCAGTTGTTGTTGCTGCTGTTGGGTGAGTAGTTGCTGTTGCTGGCTGCCGACCATACCCAGAGCACCTGTAGTGACAATATTTGTTTGATTGGCTGCGGCTGGATGTGTGGATGTGATGCCCGGCTTGAGTACATCACCCAGAGCATCGAAGCCTTGATTTTTTTTTTTTTTTTTATAAATCGCATTTTTTTGTTTTTGTTGTTTAAGCACACATTTAATTGATATTACATAAGGAATTGATGGATTAGTCGGAGGTGTTGGTTGTGACGCAGTACAAATGTGCAAATGTTCACCATATACCGTTGTATGATAGTTTTGAATTTTTTTTTTATTTTTTTTTTTTGAATTGGTTGGACGATTACAATTAGTGAACCCAAAATGTGTGTAATGTTTGGTAAGCCATATTTTTGAGGTGTAAATGAAAATACCCGAAACACAGACAAATGAGTTTTGGTTTTGGATGATGCGAGTATGTTTGTACACATTTTTGTATTGTTTTTTTTTTTTTACATAAAAAAGCAGTGTTTTACAAAGTTAGTTGGGATTTTATTCACCACACCAAAATATTTAAAATTTTTTTGTAATTTATGATTGCGCGATTTTTGTTTAATGTTTTTATATTTAACACGAGGCGTTTACCAAATTTTTTTATAGTAGTTATATTTAATACATTTGTTTATATGTATATATATATACATATATATTTGTATGTGCCACCATTTTCCATTTTTATGATTTTTTATTTATTTGCCGTTATATTATGATACAAAATATGTTTTGTGAGTTTACATAAAACAGACAAACATAAAAAAGAGAAAGAGAAAAAAATACATTTACAAAATAAATAAATATGACGATTTCTGTGTTAAATATACTATGTATAAATATATTTTTTAAGAAAAAAAAATTTTGAAATATTTGTTTATTATTATTATTATTATTTGGCGAGAGAAGTAAGTCGAGGAAAACGAGGTGAGCGATAATTGCAGTTAAAGTAAAACATGTATACAAAATTAATTTCGAAAGAAAAACACAAAAACCCAAAGAAAAACACAGATTGGATTATATTTATAATGTAAGTAGTACAGAGTATGTACATATGTATATATGTATGTGTGTTTGTTTGTATGTATGTGTGTATGCCAATTGTACTGTAAAGAGTTAGTACTAATTTTGTGAATAATGCTGAGCAGTGTAGATATATGTATGGGCTTAAATTGAAAAAAATATATATATATTAATGCGCCGTGTAAGCATTGCCATGTGTGTCCAGTGGTTTATGAGCTGCCATTTTGGGATTACTTGCTGAGTGTTTGAGAGTTTTTAGTTATCAAAAATGAGACCAAACATGCAAAATTCCACACACAATATAAGTTTGCACATATACGTATATATACTAAAAATCTAAAAGCATTTTTTTTCTCTTTAATTTAACCCTAGATACCAGAGACGCTGAAGCTTAAGCTTTAGAAATGAGTTGCTTGTGATTTAAAGAAAGTTATAAATAGAAATTATATTAAAAGAAGCAAAAATATATTAAAAATATTTTGTAATTGAAAGGTTTAATACTATTAATATAAAAATTTTAACATATTGAAGCTGAAACAGATACTTAAGCTTTAAGAACTATGTACGTACATAAAATAAGACATACGACTGCATTAAGATGTTATTTCATTTTAGTAAATTTAAAAAATATATTTTCATATAACTAAGTACATACAGTTATCCACATAATAATAGCAGTGGGATGTTTTACCGAAATGAATGCAGGTTAATTAACTAATTCAAAGAATGTTTATTCATTGTCACCAAATAAATACTATATTTAACTATATAAATATGGGTATAACTTATATTTTCAAAAAATGTCACTTAGACCCTTATGATTCTAACGCCTTCAATTATTGGTTAGGTATCCCTATTCGAAATCGTTTTCTATTTTCACCAAAAATATTGCTACATTTTTAATTTGTTTAACCATTTCTGTAGCTATTTTTAACCAACTTCAAAAAAAGGAGGTGGTTATCAATTAAGCATTAACCGGTTTCTATAATTCTTTTTTTAACGGAAAGGTGGCAGCTCAGAGGCGGTTCCATAATAATTTGGTTTAGATCCGCTTGGATTGGATTACAAAGAAATTAACGGTACTCTAAAATTTTTATATGAGAATAGAAGTCGGTTTCGTTTTTTGCTTGCTTGTTAAAAAAAAAAAAATATGTTTTTCTCATCCTGGAATAAATCCAGTAAAAGTGTGTATTTCATGTTACAAAAAAAAAAATATTATCGAACAAAAAAATAATGATCGAATTCAGCTGAAAAAATAAAAATTATATGTCCAATAAAATTTTATCATAATCAAAAAAATTTTTTACTTGCTAAAATTAAGTCTTTCACAAGATGCCGTAAGCATCGTATTTAAATTTGCAAAATAACGGTTAAACTTTTTATGTAAGTTTTTTATAACACGGGAATATTTTTAAGTTGATCAAAAATATATAACTACCGCTAATTACCTCCTACGAATCCTCTTAAAGCATTTAAGCCATTATTTTACATTAAAATAATTTACGACATTAACACGCTTGGGACATCTTGTGAATCCACCTATTGTTTTCTGTCTCTTTAACATTCAATTTTTCGATCTCTAAAGAAATGCCCCATTTTTACATTTGTGACTAGTATAAACATAGTATAAGCGCTTATTTCTCTATGAACTACTGATAACTTTACGAACTTTAAATAGTAGTGAAGTATGTACTAATAAAACTACTTTACATATTTCACGGTATGTACTAACTTAGTTATATATCTAATTAAAATGGTGATATTTATGTAAATCCAAACAAAAACAATTGCGTACAATTACGACACGTTCACACATACCTAGTGTTTTTCCAATGCGTTTTAGAGATAACAGAAATTCTAAAAAAATATAAAGAGCAACAAAACAAAGCAGCTACAACACAATTAAATGCATTACAGTCAAAAGTAAATCAAAATTAAAACAAAGAACAAACGCAAGTAGACGGTACTGAAAAGAAATATCGAAGAACTTGTATATAATTGCAGAAAAACCACAAGGAGCAAAACCAATGTCCGGAACCTGACACTCAGCACACATAACATTGAATTTTCTGGACGGCAGAAGTTGAACCTAAGGACTGTGCAACGCTGGCTGACTGGTCGCTTGGCTTGCTGGTTGTGCGATTTGGCATTGATTGACAGGTGAATAAACGGAAAATTGGCTCGCATCAAATACATAGCGAATAAACACACACGCACGCACTAGTAAGCAAAAGGTAGTGTGGATGGTAAAGCAAAGCACAACACAGAGAAGCAGGTGGATTAAGAAATGCATTGCAGTGACTGGGTTTGAGGTGGAGTGGAACGGCAAAGCGACGGCAGCGTGTATGCGTATGTGAGTGTGGGTGTATGGATGCCGATGGCAGTGGTTTAGAAGTGACATTTATGGTAACACTGCAGCAACAACAATAAAAAAGAAGTCGGAGCCTGAATGGCGATCTTGCGAGATTGCAGGATAATTCAGAGTAAAGATTAATTCAAAATCTTGCAGCAGGTATGTATTTCATAAATGTTGTGTGGTATCAATCAAAATTATTGACACATACTGCTATATTCAAATGACAAAGTAAGCGCAACAATGCAATGCCACGCAAACGGAGGCGCTTTTTGTAAGCCAACAGCTCAGCTTAAGCGTAAAGCATAAAAACTTTAACGCACACACACATACATACATATGCACATACCTACGTACAAATAATACAAACACGAGTACACTTTTTCAATTTTTGAACACAAGCAAACAATTCGAAACATGAAAGGTAGTAAAGGACACTGCAATAGAGGACAACACTTGCTCTCTTATTCAGTAGACAATGTTCATTTTTTTTTTTTGTATGTACATAGTATGTAGCCATGTACGCACTAATTCTACATGTACATATGTATGCTTTTTTTCTCTTCACCTGGTGGGAATTGTTGAGGCGCCGGCGCCACCGCGGCTGTCGTGTTCATAAAGAGTGTTTGCGCGGCTGGCGCTCCCTGGGGCATAAAGGTGGCAACGGCGGCACCGCCGCTAGTTGATGCTGTAGAAAATGCCGCCTGCTGTTGCTGTGGTTGTTGTGGTGCGCCAAATAATGGAGCGTCCATGGTGTCGAAGAACGGATTGGGCACTGTTGCCGCAGCAGCGGCGGCGGTCGATGAGCCAGCAGCTATGAGTGGCATTTTTGCCAAATTCCGGTTGGGATTTGAGTTATTGCAATTGCAGTCAATGGTAGTTGTTAGTTGGAAATTCATATTCGCATTAGAATTTTGATCGCACATGTTAAATTTCAAATAAGGAAAAAAAATAAATATACATACTTTCAATTACTAAATGTAACTAAAATAAATGATCAACTTAAATAAATAATTGATAATATCTGATTAATATTATATTCTTGAAGAATCCTAAAATGTGTATATACGTAATAAAAAAGAGTTTCAGTGGCCTTATAAAATAAGTCACTATGTAGGCGAAAAAAAATTATTGCTTCGTAAAGTACTTTGCTGTCCTTCGCCAACGACATTAGTTAACGTAAAATTTTAACAGCGATTTTAACTAGGGAAAAATAGAGACTTGGCACTCAGTGAGCGCCGTTTCATAAATTTTGATCGAGAAACTTCTTAGTAGCGAGACGGCCATATTAAACATATATGTACCACCACTTAAACAGACACCAAACGCTGCTTATTGCAATCATATTTCTAGGCTTTAAAAAATTAAAAAAAAAATAAATAAATAAAAACTTATATTAAAAAATATAATTATAAAATACTAATTTGCGTTAAAAATTAAATGAAATATTCTAAGAAATTCTGTTTAACACAAATTGTCTCTATGAATTACATACGAATTCGATAGAAATATTATTCACTGACTACCGATCAATTGTTTGTTTAAAAAAAAAAGGATTTGAGGTGGCGCTATTTGCAACTACCGTACACCTGTTATTTTAAACACACATTTTAAACATTAAAAAGGGACGATATACTATACTCGTATACTATTTTAGTGTATGCATATAAAAATAGCTGAAGGCCTATGAAGATATGTATGTAGACCTATACCTAAAGTAATAAGAGCGTAACTTTTTTATAACCGCAAATGATTACTGTTTGTTTAACTAAACAAAAAGTAATTACTATGTAAAAAAAACTTAAATTTTCATAATGGCAAAATGTTAAAAACTTAAAAGATAAATCTAAACAATCTTAAACGACTATTGGCATGCACACCATCTGCACTATTTCCAGTTAGGCATATCAAATTGCAAACCGTTGACATTTGTTAAATACATACTTTATATTTACAGAACACTTAATTAGTAATATACACTATTAATATGAAGTAATGCCAAATATTGAAAAATTAGTAAGAAAGAGGCACCGAAATATCTACACTAAACGTAAAGAGAGATGATCCTTTAAGAAACGATAGTTAACGAGTTTTCAGCATTTATAAAAAATTAATATTTGCACAATTTTTACACACAAAATTAGATAATGAAAAAAATATATATATTTCAACAATAACAATATGAACTGTAAAATAAATGATTAGTAGTTTGAAAACAACAAATTAGGTTCGGAGAAAGCGGTTTTTGGAAAGGAACCAACACAGGAAATTAGGTACTAAAGGATAGCTTAGCTTTCACTTGGTGCGGCCGAATGCGCGCACAAGCAGGATTACTTAGAATTTTCATTTTAGAAAGGACACACATTTCACTTACCGGCTGGTTCAGTATTACCAAAAACGGACGAGAAGTTGCTGTCCGAAACGAAAGCATTGGCAGCCGCTGATGGCGCAGCAGCACCATTGAAACCTAAGTTTGATAGAGAGAATTTTAGCATCAGTAAAATATACAAGGCATATCAATGAAATGACAATATTTATACATAATAAACTACTCAAGTGCGCTCGGGTATAAAAAAAAAACAAAATATTACACAAAAGATACGCAAGTATGTATGTACATACGTGTCAATGCACTAAAAAAATAAATCAAGAAAATATAAATATTAATCAAATTAAAAACAAACATGCTACCATTATTATGCATCCAAATATTATTGGTATTATGTGCACCACCTGTTCCCGCTGCTACGCCGCCACCAGCGCACACACCGCCAACGGGCGCATCAAACATATCAGCAAATGGATTGCCCAGCTGTAGTAAATCATCGGATGCCTTGGTGGTGGTGCCGCCAGCAGCACCGCCACCACTACTGGCACCCGCAGTGCCGGCAGCCGTTGCCGGAGCTGCACCAAACAGATCGACTATCGGTGCACCAGCGCCACTGGCTGGCGGTGACGATAAGAATGGATTTGTTAATGCAGCACCAGCACCAGCGCCACCACCGCCTGCAGTGGGTGAAGATACTTTCGATTGCTGCAACAAGAAACGGGGGCAAATAGAGAGTAAATGTGTTTAAAGTTGAAAGGTTATCAGCAGCGAAAATGTGATAACTTACTTTGTACTGATTCATAGCCGCTTCCTCTTCGGCCAACACCTGTGCCTTTAATTGCTCATCGATGCCATTGGTGGTGTCGAATTTGCTCGATGCTGCAGCTGTACCAAAGGATGAGCTGGTGGAAGATAAGGCAGTGACAGCGGATTTAAAGTTCTTTTGATTGCTATAAAAGTGCTCAAACCAAAGTGGTGTGGTGTTTTGAATTTTTTATTTGTTGTTGTTTGTTTTTTTTTTTTTAATACGACGCGCCATTAAATTAAAAATGTACTCAGCAAATGTGGTCAATAAAAAATTATCAATCGGCAATAAAAAGGTGAAAAGAATATTTAACGAGCAATAAATAACAGCCAAATTATTTTGTACGATAACAGCGACGGCAATGGCAATACGTAAGACAGACATCATTAGCAACGGCGAAACCAACCAAGAATCAGTTAAAATATATGAAATTAAATAAGAAAACAACAAACGAAAACAGAAAATTACAAATAAAATACAAAAATAAAACTTAATTAGCAAACTTAAATAATTTATAAACTACACTACTTTTAATTAGATTCATACATAAGTGTAAATGTATGAGACAGGTATTGAAAATAATCGCGAAATGCATATTTTTCTAATATCAAAGTTTTTATTTGAAAAATTTCTGTTTATTTATTTAATTGTTATTTTGTTTTGTTTTTTTTTTACTATTAAAAATTAAACTTATTTATGGATTTTTATTTTTTCGGCCATTTTTATACGTTGTAACTGCGATCAAAATCCCAGTAGATAATTACAGGTGCTAAAAGCCCTTCCCAAAGGCCTTCATGAGAATCAAGAGGCCTTCCAATCTGCATTCCTTTCTTTTTTGTATGGAGTATATGTTTCGAAAGTCCTATTTGTTGTCCGATCTGGTTTAATTTCGGATCTTGTCGGGTATTCGCCGTCAAATTTGGCCTAAATCTGGGACATATGTGTGTAAGTTAGTTGACTGATAAGAAATCATTTCAAAACAGAGAGCGCGAGAGTTAACGGTGGAGTCGAGCTATATTGCGACACGCTGACTGCTTAAAGCTTGGGCAGAGCCAGGTTGGAACACAAAAGATGTGGCAAGTCACAGAAACCGATATTGGTTATGGACAAAAAGTTTACCACCCTCACAGAAATTCCTGGAAATCTGATTAAGAGATTTGAATCTTCACAGACGTTTACAAATTGGACAACCAAACTTCGGAGGTGATTTTCATTGTGCTTTCTCTTTGACCATAGCTCGACGTTCGAAAAAACAAGGATATTTAAAACAAACATACGGATTATCTAAGAAATGCTAACGTGGCCCAGGACTATTGGCTTATGAACGCTAGTTTAAGACACCGCATAGAGATTTATTTGGAAATTTTAAAAATGACCAAGGGATGGAATCAATTAGCCAATTGGTATGGGAATATTACAGTCTGCGAGGAATGTAATTCAATAATAAAATAAATAAATACATATATTTTTTTAATGACCAGTATGGGTATGTATTTAGAATTATTTTATTTATTTTGGGCCTATCGTTAGACCGCATTGGACTATCGAGTTAACTCTCAAGGAGCATACCATCTAACTAAAGCCATGATTTGCCTCATAGCAAAGCCATTGGCTGAAAAAAAGTTATGCATTTGCACTGTCTTGCATATTGTTGTAAAGAATCCATAATTTCTTTATTTAGAAAAAAAATTATCGCGTATGTCTACTTGCAGCTTCTTCAAGTGGTACTGAACACTTTTTAAATGATTTCTAATGCTTTATTAATACATTAATCGTCAACCTCGGTGGGCCTTCTTGACCGAGATTTTTTTTTTTATCGAAACTACCAATTTTAACATTAACGTGCTCTTATTTCATAAGGACACACTATGAAACAAACTAAAAAAACTTTGAAATTATATTCGCAATTAACACAAGTTTTCTACAAAACAACCCAGCATAATTCCGTTTTTTAGACAGCTTTAGCTGTATGTATACAAATTATACTATAAATACAGAAGTTACGTAATATGTATGTACATATCTACTTCTACAGGGTGGTCCATATATAGTTTCTTTTTTCAATTATACGTTACTAGCAGACTCGGCGAACTTCGTCCCGCCCTAAATTAATTTTTTTTTATTGAAACCTTTTTTGTCCGACATTTTCACCAACAATTCACGTTCACGATTTATCTTTATCTAAATGAAAATTATTCAAAATAATAAACATAGTTGCAAACAAAATCATTTTGAATTTCGGTGCTAATTAGCTGACCGCAGGTGTATATAGAATATGATCGAAATCCGACTATAAATACGATGTTTAGTAATAACTCGATTCCAACGCGACCTATCGGGTTCTCCCCGTAACATTTTTTGCAAATCTACTGAAATCGGACAATCCGTTCTCGAGTTATGGGCGGTCATACGTACGCAACTTAGTTTCAAATATATAGAGAAGAGATTTTGAAATATTGTAACCGAAATAGGCAACCATTTTGTTCGAAAAATCATCTTTTCTAATGAAGCGTATTTTCATCTCGACGGCTATGTCAACAAGAAAAACTGCCGCAGCTGAGGATCGGAAAGCGTGGAGCAGTGGCTCAATGGCATTTTTCTTTGGAAACGCGATTTCGCTAAATCAATAATATCCCGAAATTTTTTTTTTTATATTTTTTTGAATTCAGAAGGAAACCACTAAATGGACCATCCTTTACACTACCAACTAGAAAAATTAAAAAAAAAAAACAGACGTATTAATACACAAACAAAATGTGATGATTACAAATAATTTTCACCCCAAACGCTTAAATTAAAATTAGCTTTCCTTATATTCCCACTCTTTAACCGACTTCAAAAAAGGAGGAAGTTATCAATTCGTTGGAATATTTTTTTTTTTATATATGTTACCGCATAACTTTGGACCACGTAAACCGATTTCTATAATTCTCGGTACCTCAGAAGTGGTCCCAATACTAATTTGGTTTAGATCCGATCATTGTATCAAAATTAACGGTACTCGTAAATTTTTATATGAGAATTGAAGTCGGTTTTGTTTACTGCTTAGCAATTATTTGTAGTTTCACGCTTGCGCTACAGCAGCGTATAAAAAAAAATAAATTCCATACGTTTTTGTAAAAAATCTCAAACGAAAAAAAAATACCTTGCCGATTGAGTTGGTGTATTTGCGGCGGATACTTTACGTCCCTCCAAAGTGGCCAAATGTTGTTCTAAAGCATCCAATAGTGACTGGGAGCCTTCGTCAAATCGGGTATATCGCCCTTATCTATGCCAACATTCTGTGTCGATAAATAAACAAATTCAAATCAGAACATACTTCAGACATATTTTCTTTTCTTTTTTTTTTACTCACCTCAGCGACTTTCAAAAATTCCCCAACACGATCCATGCGCACCAAAAACTTTTTATACAAATCCAAAGCGTCGCGTGCATGCTTCTTATTCATATCGAAATATTTCTCAGCAAATTAATGATGCCATCATTGTAGCAAGCAAATAAGCGTATCAAATCGCGAAAGAGCAGCATGAAGCTAACGTTGATGACACCTGTGATTGAAATATTAAATCGAAAGAGAAATAAAAATTGGCAATCAATTCAAAAATTAATGAGTAAAATAAGCTAAAAGCGTAAAAGCAAAAGACAACACAAACCATTAGACAAGTCATTGGCCTGGCAATCGAATTCCAATAAAGCATCTAATTGTCCTTGCAGTACAGGTAATGTCTTGAGCAGCTTGTCGGCGTTCATGGTGCGTAGAGAGCCCTCCTCTTTGCTGTGAAAAGTGAGAAGAGTGATCAACTATGTAATAAAAATAATGAAACTCTTAAAGGAAATTTAGCAACTAGGCATATATTTTTCGTGAATACCCCCTCTATTACTCTATCGTGTTGCATGACAAAGCTATCTGCGCTTTTGAGCCAGCTGTCAAACACCACCCATAATCGAGTTTATTTGTGCGCATGCAATATTTTATAATTTCATTGATAAATTACTTATATCAGACTTACCCGCGCTTTACTTTGCAAAAATCAAAAGCCATTGCACGATATGAGAGCGACTTTTCATTCAAGTATTTGGCATAGCGTCGTATGAACGGCGACATATCATAGCCTGTGGTGGGGAGTAAAGAGAAGAACAAAAAGTTAATTATATTACTGTAGATTAATTACATTACAACTACACTGAACGAAAGAGAATAAAGTGAAATAAGAAAGTCAAAGAGTTTTTATATTAAATAGCAAGTGGCTCGAAATCAAGACATACTTTTTGAGCAAACGCAGCAAAGCAAATAAATTTAAAATATTATTTTTACTTAAAACATCGAAGAAAGTGAGATAAAAGTCTACAAATATGTATGCTATGTAGGTATTTTTTTTTTACTATTCGAACAAAAGTACCAAACTTATTTCTCTATACCACTTTTCGCTGATCAAAAACTACTTGCAAAGTCTATAGCAAATACAAGTACTGAAATTCAAATTTATGCACCTAAAAATATGCAAAGTTTACAAAAGCGAGATTGATGTTTCTTATGCCAAATTTCTACTAGGCATTAAATTGCGCCATTCTTATCTCCAGTCACTAAATTTGAGACTATAAATTAGTTACTTTTTTTTGTGTCTTGNTGATGTTTCTTATGCCAAATTTCTACTAGGCATTAAATTGCGCCATTCTTATCTCCAGTCACTAAATTTGAGACTATAAATTAGTTACTTTTTTTTGTGTCTTGATACGATTGGGGTATTCAAGGCCTGTGCCAACTGATAGCAAAGTAGTACTCTGGTAGGTAAATTTTTGACAACTACGAGGTGAATTGAAAATTGCCGAGCCAGCAGGGCTAGTAAAAAAATTTACAACAAGAATCACACCTAACTGACGATTTTGAAGTATTTTTTGTTCTAATATTGCTAAGGCGTCTAATAAATGGTCGGCTTACAGTTCTAGAAGAATTAAAATCAGCAAAGGCAAATATTTTTTATGTAATTGCTGCATTTTAATTGCTCAACTTCTTCTGCGCCAGAGCAAGGTCAGACATTTTTTTTTTAATTTAATTTAATTTAATGTTATTTTTTCTCTACAATTTTTTTCTGAATAATTTTTCTTTCTGAACATTTTTTATAATTTAATTTTTTACATTTTTTAATTCAATTTTCAGGATGTTTTAATTGTTTTAAAAAGAAAAACATTTTTTTTTTAACATAATTTTTATGATACTAAAGTACATATTTAGATTTTTTTCCTAATGAAATTGTAACAAATATTTCCTCTCTTCATTTTAGCGCTTTTTAGAGTAAAGTAGAGAGCAATTATCTTTTCCTCCATATTTTTTTGAGACCTGTTCAGAGCTAGCTGACAAATTAGTGACTTTTTTGAGACTAGAGACAGCTAACTGAATACCCAATAATCTCAAAACTATTAGTGACTATAGTCTGCGTACTGAATATGTACTGACATTAATGTCTATTGCTTTCAAAGTAACTACGCGCATATTTTTTAACGCCCAATTTTATGCAATTTAATGCTTAATGAAAATAAAAATCCTGTACCTTCTAAAATCATACACAAATATACGCTTTTTAAAATGCAAATTGACATTCGAAATTGAGTTAGAGATAAACAATGAATTTTCGTTTGAAAAAGGGTCTAGTTTAACAAAAAAAATTTTTAGGACAGTAAAGACGGCTATAAAAAACCAGTTAACACTAAATTCTTAGCTTAAATTTCAAAAATATTATTTATATACGTATTTTAATGTGTAGTGTAACAAAGCTTTATTTTATTAGTGAATTTGAAGGTGTGGTGAGTTAAAACGATTTGTGAAAATTTCTAACACAAATTTTAGTATTGAACCAAAATGAAATCCGGCTAAGTATCTAAAATTTAACCACATACATATTTTTCAACTCAACACAGTGCATCAAATTACTCCTACTATCACCGGTGGTTTGCATACAAGTTTACAGTCTCACACAGAGACAAAACTCCTGGCATTACTTTCGTAATAACTACTGCGCACAAAAACAAACCGCCAAAGTCTAATTTTAGGCGTTTAAGAAATGTTTATACCATATGCTGAATTTCCACTACGCATTGAAATAACAAAATGGCAAAAAAAAATTTCTAGCACTAAATAAATGGCTTACTGACTTTTATTTTTGACATAAAGCCACCTTTTTTTTAATACCAAAATTTTCCATTATAATTTTTTGTCATTTAATGCCGAGTGGAAATCCGGCATTATGCTGAATTTCCACTAGGTATTGTAATAACAAAACATGTGTGGCTTTAAAAATATGCCATGTGAAAACGAAGTTACGGGTACCATTATTTCCAAATATTTTTTACGAAAATATTTTGTTGACCAACTTTGCCATTAAAAACTATTTGTCATTTAATGCACAATGGAGATGCTTAATTATATTTTCTTGTTGCAACCAAAAGTGTATGTATGTATGCTCATTTTTAAAGCACAATGCGTTCATTTTGAAATATGTACAATCGTCAAAAATTGCTATCTACAAAAAAGAAAATATTGCCAAAAATATTTACAGTAATGCTACATCTTGAAAACTGTTTACTAGCAAACAATTCCACAAAACGTGTGTATGTATGTATATACATATGTACTAAGTTCAATTTACGTTATTAAAAGCTATTTATAAACAGCGGAGTACTCACCCATTCTGCCACCCGGTGCCGATAAGCCATCTTTACAAATTCATAATTAATTTTGTTTAATTTACAACAACAAAAAACCAATGGTGCGTATGTGTGAATAGCATTGTTATTATTATTTTTTGCGGCAATTTGTTTTTTTTTTTTAAGTTAGAGTTTTTTCACATTAAACACAATAAGCCGGTGTTTGAAAAGTTAGCGTTTTGGAGTTATTGGATTTTTAAATGTGAAAAGTACCAATTGTGTTATTATTTATGTTTGGAGATAAATAGAGATGAAGAGAAGAGAGAAGAGAAGAGAGTATATGTTAATATTTGGATTTAATTTTTTTTTAATTTTTTACTAATGAATGTTGCAATGTGTTAATAAATTGATAAATAATTCAAATTGGCTTAAGTGATAAATTGAGAAACAAATTCCATAATTCATATTTATTTCTTACTGAAATGCGAAATTATGACATGTCAGAAATGTGCGAACTTATTGAATTTGTTTCTAATTGACATTATGATTCAAACAATTTGTACATTTGTATGTATGTACATACAACAGTGGCGGAAAAATAAATAGAGACGTGACATTTTAACAACTAACGACTATTTTTCTTCTGTTTTAATAAAAGTATGGCTCATTAACTAACAAAAATCATTTAAGTCCAAATTGCAAACTTTATACAAAAATTGGGAAAATTTTCAGGAAAATTTCAAACTTTTTTTTCATAATTTTTATACAAATTTTTACATGCAGTTTTATAGCCGTTTATATTTCTTGCTGGCGGTAGGTATTACGCATTTTCTTCCATTTCGAAATTTTATTTATATGGAAAAATATACTGGGTTATTAAACTTGGGGCGTATTCTGACATAGTGAAAATTAAGTTGGTACTTAAAGTTAAGTATTTTTAAACAAGCTTTCTAAATATAAACAAAATGGTACCGTAAATACGCGTTCGCAAATATCTCGGCTTCTGCGCCACCTGTCAGCTTAATTCATCTTTCAATGTCCTGTCATCGGGTTATGAGCTAAGTTTGAAGTTTCAAGTTTGTAGCTCATCGGGAAGTTTGTATAATATTGCTTTCGAAATTCCAGCATATAAAAGCTGCAACTAATTTTAAGTACCAACTTAAATCTGACTATGAATACACCCTTTTAAAATTTTGATGAAACATTGTCAAATTTTGCTAATTTAATACAAAGCTTGAAATTTTGACTTACATGTTTGTTCGACAATTAGCTATACTTTTATAACAAAAAAAAATATTCATACATATACCAAAACTTGGTAAAACGTCGTGTCCCTATTTATGTGTCCGCAACTGTATGTATGTATGCACGGATGTTATATGAAAAATGTAAACAACCGATTTTATATATGCACAAGGGCACATATTTATGTATGTATGTATCTATGTCTAATTGTCTGCGATTTTGTGTGTATGAAATAAATTATTAAATTAGGTTCGTTTGTACAAATTCATGTTCAAATCGTTACCTTAATATAGAAAGGGCCTAACACATTTTCTTTTCAAATCAAGCAAAAGTCTGCCAATTACTCACTAAACACCTAATGGATTTCAAAAATAATTACTACAGCATAAAATTAGTTACCTTCTTCAATAAAAACAGTCTTTAACAGAAATTCTCAGCATGATTTTTCATGGAATTTTTCCATCACTCCCTAAAGAAACGAAACTTTTAGTTAGGGCCTTTCTATACCACGGCAACGATATCTATGTATGTATGTAGCTTTGTATGTGCATGTGTGTGCGAAAATGCCAATTAAAAATTTGAATTTGAAAGGAATTGTATAAATATTTAAAACAATGTGAAGCAGCGAATATAATTTGTATGTATGTATGTATGTATATATGTATGAACAATTTTCTTCTTGCATCAATATGCATTCTATTTATAGAAAAATAAATGAATTGTTAGCTTTTAGTGTTATAATCAATTGCCTGTTTGTGTGCGTGCGAAAACGCATAGTTTATTTGTTTTTCCTTTTAATTGTTTATTTTTTTCCTTACTAATTACCTTGCACGCCGCCTTTGTCCAGAAAATTGCTGAGATTAAATGTTGAATTACTGGATGCTAAATACTGCATAAAACGCTGTAAAGAGAGAAGTAAACGAAAATTTTATTATTGAAAAATTTTAGAAGTGCTTTGGCGTTTTTTAACCTTGTGCCTCTCTGAACTTTTTTAACTGATTTAAATTCCTACGGAATTCGGTTTAACAAAAACCTCAAGTTCTTAAGGCTTAATTCACACCACCACAGCACCACTTTGTTAGTCAAATCAATCACCTAAAACAGGCATGCCTCCCTCCCAAGTCAAGAACAATTAAATTTGGACCTTACACTATCAATTTTTATTAATTTTATAATAATAATATTTATTAATGCATAAGGGCCAGTGTTGATCAGCAGATTTTCATTCATGTTTTGTGAATAACTCAGTGAGAGGGGAGACCAGTATGTTTGCATGTATGTATATAAAAAAAATATTTATTGGACCAAAAAGTAGTGGGTAGGCACTGTGGCCAATGGTAATCAACTATTACCACCTCCGCATGGTTGTAAGCCATGCAGAGTCCGCAGAATGCTCCGGAAGCAGTGTCCGGAGGATGCATCCGACTAGGCAGAGCATCCTTTGAACTGCCATCAAATTATAACTTAAGAAAGTTTTATTACATGGCAGTTGAGAAGTGCATGTACATAAATTTCATTAATTTAATGAAGGTAATTTTGCACATGCAGCAGTACATAGCATGCATTTAGGCGCCTGGTGTTAGCAGTCGCGTCTAATTATTCTTTGTAAACAAATTTTTAATTTATAATGAAAGTGAGTTGTATAATTTTATTAAAATTACTAAAATAATTTGCGAATAAGTTCGTGGAGTTATGTATTTTCAAGGTGCATGTTTTCATTTTTTTTTCTCATATGTAAAATTCAACCTTTTTTACAAGGCGCATGGGAAAATTTGAATAATGTTGCCATATATTGAGCCCACGTTTTCATTGAGAAAAGAAAGCGATATACAGTGACGAATATATGCAAAGTTTTTTATTGTAATTTTTATTTTCGATAATTTTTTACAAAAATATAGTTCATTCTGCGCTAAAAAATATAAAAATAAAATCTTTAAAACGTGTGCAAAACTCAGGAAAAGTCAATAAATTTTTACACCATTTTGCAACTTTCTATTCAGATTTTTTAGAAAATTTTTTCGTATGCAGTTTTATAGCCAATTCAATTTGAGTATCACAAAGTGCAACTTTGAAGTTGCTAGAAAATCGCGTTGATTTTTGGCGATTTTTTTTTCACGAAGGTTCTTTTATACAATTTATGTTCGACAATTACTTTTTGTATGGGAAAAGTGAGCAACACCCTCCACTAAAAAAAATTACCAAAAATCAATGCGATTTTCTAGCAACTTCGACAATCTTGCACTTTGTTATACTGGAATTGAATGGGCTATGAAACTGCATACTTATTTCTTAATCATTATACAGTGAAACCCACCTAAACACTTTTTCTCCTGAAAAAATTTCTTGCCGTTCCAAGTACAAACTTAAATTAAGAAAAATTTAAATGCCAAAGACACGCCCTACATTTTTCGGTAACCAAATGGTGTGACCACATTAGCATATTTTCATCAATCACTAAGTTTGAGAGTCAAAAAATCTCAACTACAAAAACAGAACAAAAGCACGAAAAGGCACCCTACATACTTATTTATGTACATATACTGAGTAACGGAAAATAAGCCATTATACTTTCAACATCTTCCCTACAAGACAGCTGAGTATCATATGAGTACTCATATTATCATTATCCCTAATCACAAAAGTGCTTATCAAAGTCCTCATTTTCGTTCAGGCCATGGGAAAAAATTGAGTACTTTCCCCTCAATGTTGTCATCAGAAAGTCCTCAGTACTAATAGTCAAACTACTCATTTATGCCGTACTACAAAAACAAAAGTGTAAATGTGTGAGAATTTTTGCCTAAAGTGCTCAGCAATGTCTTGTAGGGTTTAATAAGCTTTTACGCGCAAAGTACATAAATATGTACATATACATACATACATATATGAACTTATGTATGTATGTATGTATGTATGTATAAACACAACCATTAGAGGACGTGACAACGATTAAGGACGAGTAAGTACTTTCGAGTAATTACTTATGCACATACATACATACATACATACATATATAAACTGTAATGATATCAAAGCCGAAATATGTAGAGCAGCTGAAATATTGCAAACACTCTTTGTGAGGAACTTAATATGACTTGCTAAACAAAATAACACAAAAAGGAGCGAAAAACATATTTACAAATATATATGTATATTCAAAGCTTCCAAGCTTATATAAGCTTAATGGTAAATTAATGGCAGGACTTGAAACCCAAAAATAGGTTAAAACCGGCAGAAAATATAGCACAGAAATTGCGTGCAAAAAAGCTAAAAAGAAAACGCTTACGCAAGCGACTGAAACTGAAGGCCATTTCAGTCACTCATCATTGGAGTGCAACAGGCAGCAACACCAAACGCAAAAGACGATGTCCTTGCGGCTTTTACTAAAGTTTTTTTTTTTGCCTACTAGCTGTGGAAAAATAAAACCAACTGAACGAAGTTTTCGGGTTGGCTAAAGCAATTTGATGCACAAACAAATGGCAGGCAATTGAACCAAACCAACAAACCAAATCCCTTCAGAAAACGGGTCAACAGTGACTAAGTGGGTGGGTTATTCTGGTTAATCTGCGTCAAAAATATTAATACCCAGACGTTTCTTTATTTATATTTTCCACACCAAATTTTTCTAATTTTTTTATAAAAATATAGTTATTTCAACAGCAAAAACCTGCAGAATCACTCTTTTCAATTTTCATATATAACTCGTGAAAATTCAAGAACTACCAAAAAATTGTCATCATAATTTTCAATTCCATTTCTTAGAAAAATTCTGGGTATGCAGTTTTGTAGCCCATTAAATTTTAGTACAATAAGGTGCATTTGATTGATTGATGAGGTTGTCGAGAGTGTTGCACATTTTTTTTCCATATAAAATAGATTTTGTTCATGCGTTATATGGAAGGAAATACGAAACACCCTTGCCAAAAAAAAAAATTCTAAAAAATCAACGGTAATTTTTAGAGACTTAAAAGTTGCGCCTTATTATATTAAAATTTCAAGACTGCGTACTCAATTTTTTCTAAGAATTCGAATTGAAAAGTTGAAAATTTTCATGGAAATTTTTTGGTATTTCTTGACTTTTTCCCCCTGCGTTCTATATGAAATTGAAAAAAATCGGTTCTGCTGGTTTTTACAGTAGAATGAATTATATTCTTTAAGCAAAATAACAAAAATTTGTATGGAGAATATAAAAGAAGAAAATCGTCAAAACGTCAGGGTATTCATATTTTTGACGATGATTGTGTATACATATGTACATAGTCTGTATGTAGGTTATTTATGATACAGCATAGCTCGCACTACCTAACTTTTTTATCCTGATCAAAATTGCGGCAAATAGGAATATTTAATTCCATCCAGATGACCAGAGAATGCTTTTAATCCGGGGATGCGAGCCTCCTTGACAGCGACAAAGCTCTTTTAAGCTGCCTATACATTTTGTATAGACACGCGTAGAGTAAGGTCCTCTCTGCCCATCGCTGTTTAAATCATATGGAATCTATAAAAAGCTTTAAAAAGCTTCTCCTTCAGGACAAAATTTGGGCACGACTGATGTACACCATCACATTAAGGTTTGTCTAGACGAGTCACGACCAGAACAAATCCCGACGGGTAAGCTTTTTAAAGCAATCTATTGGGTTTTTTTTTTAAACAAACCATAACCTAAAACCTGGAATATGTGATTGGTGGTTTTATATTGCAGTGCAAAAGTGGCACACTTCGAATAAATTTTAGGCTCCTTTTTTCCTTATTATTGAAACCTTTTTCCTCAAAATCCAAGAAGCCACTACAATATGCCTTATGAACCCCACAAATCAGTAGCCATCATATTACTAGTAAAAACCATATCTACTGCACATAAACAGTAAAATTTTCTACCAGAATGATCTATGACGTTCTTCCTTCGAAGGCGATACTAAATTGAAAGTCCCTTCAGTTATATATACATCTCCCTAATCTAAATTTATTTGATGTAATCGTCGTTATTTTTTTTCCAATCTGGAAAATCAATCAAGCTTTGGAGCTGTAAATTTATACGTTATTAGATAAATTAAGTAAAATCAAACAATTAATCACAACAAATACAATGTCGATAAATCGAAAAAAAAAAATCTAACAATACAGATGGTGGTATAGACGCCCAATATTTTCCATTATGAGGCGTCTATTTTGTCGCCAATTCAATGATATCAATAACATACAATTACTCGCACAATACTACAAAGTATGAACACAAACAAAATAATCAAGAACAGAGATGAAGAAATGACTGTCGATTGAGGACAGTATATTTATAGTATACAAATAAAAATTAAAATTTTGCTGCCTATAAACATATACGCATTAGGGTGCCTCATCAAAAAAAAAAATGCTGTTTTCCATTCGAATTAAAATATATTATATTTTTATGGCCTTACACATAAAAAAATAAAGTAGTTTTAAAAAGCTTTATAAATTTACGTTTTTATACATTTTTCAATTTACAAACCTTTTGTAAAGCTACTTTATTTTTTATGAACACTATTATGATTTACGGGAGCTAGACCGATTTGAAAGAATTTTGATTCCGTTGATAAAATCTTTAAATATTTTAGCCTTAGCTCTTCTATCATCTGTGGTGGTTAACAAAAAAAAAAACGTATTTTTAAAAACTAATTTAAAATCTAGATTTTTGGATATTTTCAAATGGGTCCGGCTCACGTAAATCCTAATATTACCGGGGAAGTCCTAATATATAAAAACTTTCATCATTCCGATGGAAAGTTGTATGGCGAACCTTTTTTTTTGTTTTTGCTTGCAAGGTGCTACGGTCTAATGTACAAACCTATTGGTATATAGGAGAACTTGTGAGTGAGAAATGTTTTTATGTGTATATATGTACTTTATTTTCGTACTCACCTCATTGCCATATGCCATCAAATTATGAGTGGTTATCAGCGCTTTATAGACCACCACCCAATTGGTATTCTGTGAGCGTTCGATAAGTAAATTGGCCAAATGTGGTATGGAGACATTCGGTTCGTTTGTGCAGTGTACCAAATCTGTAAAGTAATAGGGATGAATACGTTGAAAATTATTTATTTAAAAGTAAAGCTTAAGAACTTTCTTGTAAAATACAAATACATATTTATTTAAATAAACACATACATATTTCTAAATTACTCTGCGATGCTACCATCTTATCAGAATTTTAAACATTTTTTTAACCTTCGACGGCGAGTAGCGGAAATTTTTGCTTTTCATTTTTTTACATTTGAACGTGAAAATAAATTAGACTTAACAGCAAAAGCCTGCATACACCATTAATTTTTTAAATATGCACAATAGTATTTTGCAAGCTAAAATTTGTTTGTAATTTTTTTTTTTATGAAAATACGGATCATGTTAATACCATGTAAACCCAGATTTCAAACTTTATAAAAAAATAAGGAAAATTCAACGAATTTTAATCAAAATTTTCAACTTTTTAATCAGATTTTCTAAAAAAAGATTTCAAGTATGCAGTTTTATAGCCCATTAAATTTTAGTATAATAATATGGAAATACGAAGTGACTACGAAATCGCGTTGATTTTTAATAATTTTTTCGCTGACGGTTCTGAGCATTTTCCTCCACACAAAGTACTTATGAGTGAAACTTTTTTACGATTAGAAGGGTATATTCAGTCTACTGTGAGAATCAAGCGGCAACAAGGGCTCTAGGATCGCTTATGATGCGATCGAAACTGGTTGAGGATTGCCTAACCTCTCACTCTATCCCCTCAGATTACTCATAATCAGCCTGATTTGTCACAGTCACATTTGCAGGAAACTGATGGCGCCCTTAAGATTATCTCTACTGGCAGGGAGGGTATAGGTGCGGTTCATGTCACGGAAATTCACTTCGCTCTTTCAAACTGGCTCTTGATTGCGAATAACTGTGAATTGTGTAAAATTTTTCGCAAAGAACAAACAAAACAAAAAACTATCACAACATTGACTAGTTTCAGGTTCACGAATGTCAAAGGGAAAGCAGCGGGGGTAGTGTTCATTGTCATCTTTCAATAGATCGGTTATTTAGCCTTAGTAGACATGTTTAACTGATAGGATTGCTCAACGGACACTATTTAATAGAAACCCATACGAGACGACTTAATATCGTGTAGAATCCCTATTGCAGTAAATTTTTGAAATCTTCTTGGCTCGTATTTCATCGACACCGGACTCTCTGAACTTTTATACAACTTTTTTTTTTAATTTTAAAAATTAAAATAAAATTCTTGGAGCGCGGTCACTTTGAATGTAGTATGCTCTGCTGACAAGCTTATCGGCACGCGCGTTAAATGTATGAAAGTACTTTCCAACAGCTTCCTTTCACTCAATACAAACTTGCATTAATAAATGTTTTAGCCATTTTTTTATTTTTACTCATATTTTTACATTTTCTTATCAAATTCATTGTGTTCGCAGCCCCATAAATGCATTTTACAGCTTGATAGGATAAGTCATTAATTTTTAAATAAATCGCTATACATTAATCAGTGAAAATAATAAAAATTATTATTTTGCAAAAATAAAATCAATGAAAATGCTCAATTAAATGTCATGTATTAAAAAGTGTAAGTATCTATATACATATGTAAAAGTAATTGCTTAATGGTATACAGATATTAACAAATGTGCCTCTGTGTATTAAAAAAAAAAAAACGATGGAAATCAGAAGTACTTAATACTCGTAAAAGCAGCAAAAGACAAACAAAGTCAATCGAGCAAATGCATTTTAAATGTAGTAGGTATGTACATAAATACTTGAGTACATTTGCATGTATGTATATATTTACTATAATTCATGCAAATCATATGATTGCACAAGTATGTATGTACATATATACATTTGTATTTAAATATGTACATTAGGCCGCATCACAAAATAAGTTCAATTTGTTCTAAGTGATTCTGAACTCTCACTAGGAGAGTATTACACGGGTGGGTGTAAACATTTTTTGCGACACCCTGTATAAACAGCTAAATCGGGTTTGTTTAAACTTATTTGCTTAATTAAAAAATAAAATACCAAGACTTTTATATTGTTGCAAAATCTTAGTTTTTGATTTTTATTTTCTGATCAAGAGTAATCATTAGATTTGGGTTTTTATTTTTTCAGTCAAATTTAATCGTAATTTTGTCATTTTTATTTTTAATCGTTATAATGGCGACTTTAAATATTTTAGGATTTTGCAGGTCTTCTTAATGCCGTTACCACGATGTATCATTTATCAAAATCGTACATGAAAATACTAATTTCACTTTCCTCAAATGCTCTCCTAGCGAGTATTCGCAATCACTTGGAACAAATTAAAAAATGTTTGTCCCATGCAACGCGATACAGTCTAATGTGCATTTGTACTAATTAAAATGCCTTTACATTTACACACACTAACATACCGTCCCAATAAGAAACTAATTAGGAATGAAATAAACAAAATTCTGCAAAGCAATTAATTGAGGCGTTCTAAATGAATCAATCAACTCTGCACATTTTTAAACTAGTCAACATTACACTAGTTCTCGTCTAGTTACACTTTAGAGAAAGTAAAAAAATTGCGATTTTCAATTATCGCTGTCAATTGTGGTTTGAAGACAACCCGATTTCGACGATGTTGTGCCATCTGCAGTGTTACAACGAAAATTTTCTCCAAGCTAAGGGATTACGGAAACTCATTTCACAAAACATCACACATCCCTGTCGGAAACACTAGCAACCAAATTTAGAAGCTTAGGTCTTTTTTTTACCTCGCTTTTATTGGCTTGGGATGTAACTATGTAATATTGATGAGCCTAAAAAAGATGCAATGATTTCCATTCCCAAGTTACATACCTGATGACAGTACGAATGGAAATTATAATAGCGAGGTTTTAGTTTTTAAACTACATTTTTATTATTTTTTTCAGTTTATTCTTCAAGGCTATTTACAATCGTCTCTACAAAGCGAAACTTTTTTGTGATGAAGAATAAAAATTATATGCTATGAACTTATGCGATCAATGTCAAAACGAGTTAACGAACGATCACAGTGATTCTTAGTTCAAGAAGGCGTACTGCGTATAGTTATCACTTTTTTAGCTAATTTTTATTTTCGTATTTCGCGGATAGGAAGTGAAAATACAACTTTCCCAATACCAAAATCGAAATACAAGTTCCCATGTTCCTACAGGGTCTTTGCCACAAGTACAAATAAAGCCAGTTGTATTAATATTGAAACTCCCGTGTGCAGTTGACAACATGAAGTCTACGTTGATTTGTCTTTTGAGGGGCGTTGCTCATTAGCATAATGACGTTAAATAAGCGGCCAGCTGTTACAAATCGAGTTAAGTAGTATTTATTTTACTTACTCTGTTTTATAGTAATTAATTTAGTAAAAAGTAGGAAAAAAGCTTTGCAGTGCCAGAATCTGTGCACATACAAACACACATTTGAGCGCGCAGCCATACATACATATGTACATATGTGCATTAGGGTGGTCCAAAAATGCATGTGAAAAGGTAAAGTCGGAATTTTTATGCTCTCACCCCCCTGGGATGGAAAAGGCATAGGAAGGATGAAGTTTTGGGCTATCTCCAATTTGGATTGTAAAATGATTTTTCAAACCGATTTTTAACTGTTTTGATATTTACTTAGTATTTCAAAAGTTGAATAGTGAAAAATACAGCAAAATACAATGAGCGTCAGCCCTGGAAACACATTCTTCGTCGAATCGACGAGTCGGCGACGTATATTTTTTACGTAAGAAAGAGTGTGTGATTCCACAATTTATGGACATTTTTCAAGAATACGTGTTTTTACACATTGCGTTAGTTTTACCAAAAATACACAATCATACTGTCTTTAGAAAAGTGCTTAAAACTATTACTATCTTAATTCCAACACTTTTTATTTCACTTGCAAAATTTCAAAATTGCCAAATATGTGCAGTTGACATAAAAAATTCCATTAAAAATGTATGAATCTTCAAAACCACATTTCCTTCTATTCCAGATTACAGATACGAATCTATAAATGTATCTACATACATTTGTACATACTTATCTTATGTATAAGAGTAGAAGAAGAACGTCGGCGAACGGATATGTCACAGATACAAGCAATGACGGCAAACATTTATGTAGATATGAAAGTACTTTTTCTTGGCAAGAAATTGTATAGAAATCACAGAAATCGACAACAAGCTAGACGCTTTTGAAATCAATAAAAAACAAAACAACAATAGCAACAAATCGAGAGTGATGCAAAAAGCAGCATAACAAAAGCGGAAAAATCAATGATAAGAAAAATCGCGCATTCTGTGCCAGAGACGCTCGGAAGAGACGATGCCACACTCACCACATGCGCCACAACCACCACCACCACTACCAACGACGGTAGCCACAAGTTGTTGGCGATTGCTGCTAGGCGACAAATAAACGGGCAGACAGACAGCGCATATTAGAATAAAACTTTGTAAGACCCGCTGAGTCACGCCAGAAGCCACGATAATAAAAAGAGTAGCAAGCATAAAAAACTAAGTACAGATATTGCATATCAATTTAAAACGAGTGTTGCGGGCTGATTCGATTTTTCGTTTACCATATATAAGCGACAAGTGGCGCTGAAAATGTGAAAATTCCAATGACAACTGTCATAAAACATTTCACGTACAGTTGTGAATAGTAAAATGAAGTGAAATGCAAATTTTAGCGAAAGCAAAAAATAAAAATAAAAACGATAGTGCTTTCCAGCCATAGCCTATCAGCATGGTTAGAGGCACTAAATGAAAAAAAAATAAATATAAAATATTGTAAGTAAAATAAATAAATGTATACAGTCATATGCATGTGCATTAGTGCGCATCACTCTCCATGCAAAAAAAAAAAATCGGTACTGTTTTTCCATCGCAACTACAAAACATTACATTTGGAGTCTCGAAAACAAATATTTCAGGAAAATATTAAGATTTACGTGAGTAGGACCGATTTGAAAATACCACCAAAAGTCTAGTTCTTTATAAAGGGCATACATCGATGCATCGATTTGCATAGGATTTTTCAGGTAATGTTTCACAACAAAATATGTTATTAGCAAAATTGTAGAAAATTTGAAATAAATTACTGCAACTGAGCTAATTATGTTTCTAACGGAACTTCTTGCAGCCATTTAAATTTTTTGGCCAAAGTCACTTCTTTTTTTTTAACAGTTGAAAAACTGGAATGACGGTTCAGATGTCAGTTTTCAAAAAACATCGATACATCGATGCATCGATACATCGACTATTTATACCTCGAGTGGAAAATTTTCGATGCATCGAAGCAAAACATCGATATTTTCGATGCATCGATGTTTTTCCGACATCCCTAGGAGACTATCAATTCGTCGGAATATTTTTTTTATGTATGTTACCGCATAACTTTGGACCATGTCAACCGATTTCTGTAATCAATTTTTTAAAAGAAAGGTGTAACCTCAAAGGTGGTCCCATGCTAATTTGGTTTAGATCAACTTTTTATATTAAAATTGAAGCCGGTTTTGTGTTTTACTTAAAAATTACTGGTTCTTCATATCCACGATATCTACAGTCGGATCTTAAAGTATAATATACCGAAGTTCTTTTCTGGTGAAAGACATTTTTTTTTTTGTTCCAAAGTTTAAAGATTTCAAGTACCCCGTTCTAGTAACATCCTAATGTCAGTAAATTAAAGCACACCAAAAAACCTTTTCTGAGGAAATATTCAATTATTCCAGTAGAACTATTTAAACTTTTTAGTTGCCGAATGTAGGTGTCACCAAAAAATTTAAAAAAGGTTAAGCTAATAAAATTTTTTCCCCAAATTGCCTCAAAAATTTATTTCCATTCGAATGTGTACCTTGATATTTTTTTTGCTTGCGTGTAAGGTGATACTGTCTAATGAAACATATATATATGTATGTATGTACATATTTACATACGTAAGCATATATGTATGTATAAAAGCAATTTTTATGTCAATAGCTTCAGTGGTCGAAGAGCAGCAAGCAGAAGCCGGGGACTACACCGGCATTGACGAAGCAAATCAAATATCATTAAGAAAATCTGCATAAATTTAGCAGGCAGTGACACCAAATACAAACAACTACAACTACAACGCACATATGAAGCGCTAAAGTCAAAGTTGACACAACTCAAAATTTG